CCCTCTCTCTCTTCCCTCTAAATTCTTTTGCTTTAGCTCTTGCCTGCATCTTGAGCCTCAAGATAGTAAGCCTTCCTTGTCACCTTAGCGTTTTCGTCGTTCGAACCTCTCCTTTCGACACGGTTGTCGCTTGCTCCGCCAGCTCCGAAACCAACCCGAGCATATTCTCCCCCTCCCTAAAAGTCAAACCGCGCCTCGGGCAATATACCTTAATCGAACAAGAAAATGGCCGAGGGAAAGAGAACAGACGACTATACAATTGAGATGGACAAGTTGGATCAGAGCAATAAGGCTTTCGAGGCGCCCCCGCCGCCTCAGCCAAGGAGCGTCTCGTCCAGCTCTATGCAGAACAACCCGTTCTTGCCAGTATTAGCCTACTGTGGTTCATCCATCTTGATGACTGTGATGAACAAATATGTTCTCTCTGGCACAGACTTCAATCTGAATTTCTTTCTTCTCTGTATCCAGGTATGTCGATGAAGCATTGAGCAGCAGAGACTTGATTCCGCGCAATGCCCAGACAGTAACACTGACCACTGTTGCATTTTTTCGTCTCTTCTAGTCCGTCGTTTGTATCGTCGCAATTCAAACTTGCAAGGCCTGTGGTCTAATCACATACCGTGACTTTAGTGCGGACGAGGCCCGGAAGTGTATGTATACCCAAGGCAGCCTTGCGACATCCGCGGAAACAGGGACTGACTGAAATCGACCATGCTCAGGGTTCCCAATCACCTTGTTGTTGATCGGTATGATCTACACTGGCTCTAAGGCTCTCCAGTTCCTCTCGATTCCAGTGTACACTATCTTCAAGAATTTGACCATCATCCTTATCGCCTATGGTGAGGTCTTGTGGTTCGGTGGTTCTGTCACTGGGCTCACCCTATTTTCCTTCGGCTTGATGGTTCTGAGCTCCATCATTGCCGCGTGGGCCGACATCAAACACGCTGTCGAGAGCAGCTCTGATGCGACTGCCAAGGTCTCGACCCTGAACGCTGGATACATATGGATGTTAATCAACTGCCTCTGCACTTCGTCCTATGTCCTCGGTATGCGCAAACGGATCAAGCTAACCAACTTCAAGGACTTCGATAGTAAGTCCTTTTGCATCCAAATACGGTCGCACTGTTATCTTGTCTGACATACCTCTCTAGCTATGTTCTATAACAACCTCCTCTCCATTCCTGTTTTGATCGTGCTTTCCGGCTTGCTGGAGGATTGGTCATCCACGAACGTCAACCTCAACTTTCCTCCTGTCGACCGTAACAGTATCATCTTCGCTATGATCCTTTCAGGCTTGTCTTCTGTGTTCATCTCCTATACTTCTGCGTGGTGCGTTCGTGTGACGTCCTCGACAACGTACTCCATGGTCGGAGCCCTCAACAAACTGCCCATTGCGATCTCCGGGTTGATCTTCTTTGATGCACCAGTCACCTTTCCTAGTGTTTCGGCCATTGTCGTGGGCTTTGTCAGTGGTATCGTCTATGCTATTGCCAAGATTAAGCAGAATGCCAAGCCAAAAACGGGTGTCCTACCCACAGCCAACCCTCCCGTCAGCGCTAGCAGCCAGAGCATGAGAGACTCTTTGCGGTCTTGAACGGGCCTTCACCTGTTAGTGGAAGCCGAAATGGGCTGGGTTTTACTAGGATGGATTGAACAAGCTGACCGCTAGCCTTGGTTTTCTCGTGTCACACTTTCAGTGTAGCGTGTACAAATTTCTCAACTCGGTGAAAAAAGGAAGCCGTGCCTTCCTCAAGAGGTGCGGATGGTTAAGTTGCATCTGATTTATTGCGCCTAGCGGGCGGTCATCTTTTTGACCCAGTCACTCCATCATCATGGCTTTAATACTTGAGCTTCTGCTTTGGTCGGCGCGGTCGCGATCTGACTTTTTTGTTGTTTCGGGTGCGCAGAGGGTGCAACTTTCTAGTATCGTTTGTTTACCAGTGTGTGTTGTATCTTCGTTTGCCCTAAGACCTATATTTTTTCTTTCTTTCTCTCTAGATCTTATTGGGCGTGGTGAAAGCGCGCCTTGTCTTGCATCCGGTTAACTTTGCGAAGTCACCTTGAAAAAGATAGGGATATCTGGAGGTACCAACGCTTTTGTGTCTTGAGCCTGTATATATGAACATTTGATATTACTTTTTAATGGGATTTTAGATAGTGGACGACTTCTATTGAATCGGAAAATGCCGCATACTTGAACCCCCTGAGAAATGAAATAGTTATTTCTCTTATCTGTCTGCGAGCGACCAAGAGAGAACTATGGTGGTGTAAGATACATTCATTACAGTACATACATTTCCCCTTGCCTATTCTTTTTGCGAAAGTGGCCGTATCTGAACTCTGAATACACGATTAAATACCTGACAATACCATCCGCACTGGACATATATTTTCATGGGGAGATTAACTGGAATAGAAGAAATATCTACGCCCTGCCAACAACTTCCCAACCTGAGGAATCAGCGGATCACTTCACCTGTCGTCTGGTCTTACATTCATTGATCCGAATCCGAGAAAATTTGCTTCCAGTACATAGAATGGGCAAATCCAAGAAAGCTCGCCCCCGAGGAGATTCCGGTGCGGCGGCGACCCATCAGCCCAAAAAGCACCGGAAAATGCAGACGTTTTCTCGACTCTCAACGACGACGACCCCCGGTAGAACCGCGTCCAAACATGATGACAAGGGCCGGAAGATAGCAACTGGCGCATCCGCCTTGCAAAAACCAGCGCAACGGCAAAACCAGCATCGGCGACCCATTGTACCATTCGGAAAGAAAGATCGTATCCTACTGGTCGGGGAAGGTGAGTTTAATGATTGGAGGTTATCCCTTCTCGTTCTTCTTTTTATACTGCTGCTGGTGCTCTGTTCAAGTCTGCATGCCTGCATACAGCCAGAGTCGCCAAGTCTTCTGCAGATTGAAGTTAGCTAGGCATCAACACCTTTGCTTACCTATGTGGTCGAGACGGGTAAAGTGAAGTGGCCTTTTGCAGGGAAAGACTCGTTCAACTTGCTCTTGCGCTGTTCGCACCTCGTTCTTTACAATATTCGGATGAGCAATTGCCAAACTCCCCCAATGTTCGCATATATGATATATGCTAGTTCTACGAATTTCTAATTGAACGTCTATAGGCGACTTCTCTTTTGCCCGCTCCTTGGTTCGCCAATATCGTTGCAAGAATGTCCTGGCTACTTGCTATGACTCCAAGGAGACTCTTCGGAGCAAGTATCCCCAGGCAGATCACATTATCAATAGCATCCTTGGGGTCTCCGACAACCTCACAAGCCCAAAAGGAGAACAAAATCAACTGCCCGGTCAAAGACCCCAGCTCCCTAAAATTTTGTACTCTGTCGATGCCCGGAAACTGGGCTTCGCTGCAGGTGGTGGCAAGGATGTTCGCACTGGCTGGCCCAAACGAGAGCGTCGGCGCCCGGCATGGCAACAAGCCAAAACTCCCACCCTTGCCTCAACTCCGAAAGGTGGGCCATGGGACATCATCTCCTTTAATTTCCCCCATGTCGGCGGCCTCTCCACCGATGTGAATCGTCAGGTTCGTGCCAACCAAGAACTCTTGGTAGCCTTTTTCAAGGCCTGCATTCCATTGTTATCGCTCAGTCAGAAGTCGATCGATGACAGTGAAAATTTTGACTGGGATGATTGGGAGGATTCTGACTCAGAGTTAAGCCAGGGTGATGCTAACGATGTCACCGATGATGACAAGCCAATACGGTCAATAACGGCCACTGGACAGGCTGAAGATCAGCATAGAGTTGGGCCCGGGCGGATTCTGGTGACAATCTTCGAGGGGGAACCCTATACCCTTTGGAATATCAAAGACCTTGCGCGGCATGCGGGCTTGCAAGTGGTCACCAGCTTCAAGTTCCCGTGGGCTTGTTATCAAGACTATTCGCACGCACGTACACTGGGCGAGGTTGAGGGAAAGAATGGAGGCAGAGGGGGGTGGCGGGGTGAGGACAGGGATGCAAGAACGTATGTATTCGAGCTTAGGCAGGATGACCAATCTATGCCTGGGAAGGATGCACTACCTCCCAAAGCCGATCAGAGCGCCAAAAAAAAGAGGTCAAGAGAAGCTTCTGATAGCGACAGTGACTAAAGTCGCAATCAAGAGCCACCACGAACGGATGCGAAAGGATCGAGTTAAGAAGACCACGCAGAAATGTGAAGAGTCAAATGCAAAAAAATTACCTTGTAGAACGGATATCGTCACATGATATAGACCTTCTTCATTTCACTTTCATCGAAAACCTCACCGGTGGTAGGGTCCTTGACTTTCCCAGAGGCAACACAACCGACCTTCTCGCTCATCTCTGTCAACCGCTGCTGGCCGTAGATTCTTCCATTCGGCAGAACGATCGGGTCACTTTCAACGTAGCTCTTGGTGTGATGAGCATAAGGCATATTACGAGCAAGTTCGTTAAGCTCGGTGGAGCAGATGGGACAAACTGACGTTGTGGTGGAGAGAGAATTCGAACTTGGGGAGGTGTAGGCTGAGTGGCAAGAGGGCGTCTTTAAAGCCGATAGCCCTGCTGATAGCGCGATATGAAGCAGGGGGCGGGATGATAGTGACAAGAGCTCATGATGAGTGCGAATGAACAGGTCAGAAAGGCGATTCCATCTCTCAAGGGAGTATATAGACTTCACATTTGTTAACGGATTGACTGTGTTCGCCGATAATAAGCTACTCACTTTATAAGGTTCAGCTTTAGTATCTCGCGGAAAAGCAAGCAGTCCTGCGGCTCGGTGGATTTCGGTGGACTGTGTCTCTTTGTACGGAGCAAGATACTTTTTAGCATGCATCATCGCATCAACAAACTTCTTCTTGTCGCCGCTTCTGATCAGTTCGATGTACTGCTGCAGTCGGAGTTCGAATTCTAGATTGTACTAGGATCCGATGTTAGCCCTCTAAATTGAACTAGCCTACAAGTAATCGCGGAATTGATCAACAAACCTGGCTTTTCTTCAATGCTGCCTTGTTCTCACCACACCACTGAAGAGCATCCTTTGTCTCACCTCGACGGAGGCTCTCGGCAATACGTTGACACTGCACGAACACGTTGAGATCCACCAGACCCTCAATCCCTTTCTCGTGAGCTAACTGCTGTGCACTTTCTAAATAGCCAGAACGCAGCATATGGTCGACTATCAGTCTGTCCAATCTGACTCGTGACCACTGGTCATACTTGACGTCTGCCAAGCTCGGAATCTGATGAAGGCTCTCGAGATGCTGAATGCGCTTTTTGGACTGTTCGTGAATCATTTTCTCCTCCTGCTGCAGAATCTCCATTTTGCGCTTCAGGCTTCGCATTCTCAGGATCATGGCATCGAGAGTAGCGATGGCATGGTCGGGTTCTCGGGCATTCGACATTGAGGCACTAGCGGTCTCTTTGAGTGCGGGGAGAACGTGCTCCCTCTCCCGTTCAACGAGACGTTGAACAGACTTGAAATTCCGACGTGCAAGTTCATGGGGCAAACGAAGAAGGGGTTGGTCCTGGTAAAGAGAGACATCAATACCGAGACTGTGTTGCCGGTCGTGGTGGCTGTCACTTACCAAGAGCAAATGATTCTCCGCATTGAGCCGGGTTGATGTAAGCTCAGCGGCCATGGCGTTCCAGATATCACCCTAGAGAAGATGGGTCTTTACTACACCGGTCGTGTTGATGAAACCTGGTGTTTTCCAATAATACTAGAGGGTGGGGTTGGAATTTGTGGGGAAGGAAGTTGTTGCAGACAAGGAAGGTGAGAGACAGACGATAAGGTACTTGGAAGTGGTGAAGGGAGCGAAGACACCGCCCAAGTCACGATACCCGCCCACAGTTACAGTCAGCATTAAGTTGAAATATGTCAATTCTTCTGGTAAAATGCTATATCCTTTCAAGAACTGCGAACAAATAAAAGACCAATAAACATGTATTTGATAATTGATTCCCTTTTCAAACCCAGGACTCCGGTACAAAGAAACAAGTATGTTACAGGATTCCTGCCTGAGCGATGCTCCGAACCGAACACGACTTCTGTGACCAGCGAGAAGCGGAGGCAAAAGCGTCACGTCCGGAACACTGCAGCATCCGGGGCCAGGTCCATGTAAGTGCCGGAGGGATCTAATCACTGTCATCGCTTTCTTCCTTCGACTTAGACTTCCTTCGCTCCTTCTTCTCCTTCTTCTCCTTCTTCTTGCGCTTGCGCTCGGCGCGCTCCTCGGCGGTCTCACCCTCATGCCGTTTACGTTTCTTCTCATCGTCGTTGATTTCATCGACCTCCATCTTTGTCTGAGGAGATGATGGTACCTCAGTAGGAACCAGGTCGTCGTTCGTGGCGGGCTCAGTTGCTGGCTGAGCAGAAGCTTCCTCGGGAGCGCTGTAGTCTTTGTAATCACTCTTCCACTTGGCGGGAGTAGCCTCGTTGGTACGACCGTATTTCTACATGTGGAGTCAGATTTAGCCAGGTCAGCATTTCATCGAGTCACATAACTTACGTCCAGCTTCCCAGCAGATTTGAGCTTCTTCTTTTCCAAAGCCACGGGTCCTAGACCCCACCTACGAGGGTAGAGGTCACGCTCCATGATGCACCGCTTGACCTTCGCAACAACACCGTGGTCGCAGGTGGACAGTTCGACGGTGGACATCTGAGCAATACCGATAGCGATCGCCTCACCCTTGGTAGTCATGAGTACCACTTCCTCATTGACGTCGATACCGGCCTCTTTTCTCATGTCAGCAGCTGACACTTTATGATTTCATCGGGGCTCAGCTTACCAAAGCGAAGAAGGCCGGGAATCATGAGCTTAGCACCATAGCAAACAGCATTGACGGCACTATCTTTGACAACAATACGCTTGTATGTGGTGAGAAGGGTCTCCAAAGGTCTGATGACCCTGCGGAGATAAGACTCATCGCGTTGATTGTCATACATCCATTGCGCATCCAAGACGTCGTGCAGAGTCACCATGCCACTGTTCTCGTCCATGGCACCACTGCGCACACGTCGAAGTTCCTGCATATGCGCACCGACTCCAAGAAGGAGACCAAGGTGGACACAGAGGGTTCGGATGTATGTTCCAGCCTCGCAGCTGACCCAGAAGACACCAAGATGTCTGTCATTGTCGAACTCATAAAGCTTGCTCTCATGAATTGTTCGGATACGGAGCTGACGCTTAACGGCTGAGATCAAAGGGGGGCGCTGAAAAAGAGCACCAGTCAAGGTCTCAAGTGCCCTCTTGAACTGGGCCTCGCCGCCGGGGATTTTATCGTGAAGACGAATTACACAGACATACTCCTTTCCTGCACCCTGCTGAGACTTGACCAGACGAGTGGCACGGTCAATGCAGACAATTAAGCAACCAGTGACCTTAGGATCGAGGGTTCCGCTGTGGCCCGTTTTCTCCGCTCTTTTTGAGAAAAACTCTCAGTACATCGGATTCAATTGATAATGAGATGTGAGATATTTACCTTAAGATCCTCTTCATCCAAGCGACAACTTCGTGACTGGAAGGATTCGAGGGCTTGTCGAGATTGATGACACCGGAGTTGATGTACGACTTCAGGTCACGCTTGAGGGGAGAGCAGCCTGCCGGAATCGGGGTGAAGTGACCGGTCCTGACAAGAACTGACATGGAAATATCAGTACCAGCTACAGGGGCCTGAACAGTCATAATCTTGAAGTGAACGTACGCTTGTCATAATTCTTCAGTAGAAGCGGCCACTCCGACGTATCGATGTTAGAGGCACTAGCCTCGGGCTTAATCGTGTAGTCCATCTCATCCTTAGCCACTGCAACCGCCATTTTGAACGATCTGGCTTGAAAGGTGTCGAGATAGCCAAACGAGTGCGCGCGTGCAGAAGATGGCGCAGGAAAAATTGCACTTCCCGAGCTAAGGTTTTGCTCGGACGCTAGCGAGGAAGAAAGTCTGGGAAATTTTGGAAGTGCGGCAAAAGCAGAAGCGACAAATGCGGTTAGCGCAGAGATTTCACCTGCCGGCTCACCGTCCCGTGACCTGGGTTGTTCTCTATGATACGGCCTTGAAGACTGTTTTCTCTGGTATTGCTTGTAAGATGCTGAGAAAATGGTACCACTAAAGTGGTGTGTACAATCGAACCTATATCTTTTGGATTACCATGTTGGGCATCACTCGTTACCTAACCAATGGCTATGGAAACATCGAGTCGCAGTTACTGCACTCCACCTGCAAAGTTGCTTGTGTCTGAAACTACTATGAAGTCCTGCTGCTGGTACATTGCTGCATGTTCGTTCTTATGCTCCGCCTCCACCTTGGCAAAGAAAGCCCTTCTCTCCGTAAATAGTGTTGAGCCCTCATCTCAGTTAGCCCCGAGTCGTCTGCCTGGACCCCTCCGACTCCATGGTCCCTGGAACGAGGAAGTCCACCCATCAGAGTGGGAGGTTGCCGTCTGGTTCACTGGCTGAAAGGCTGTTCCATAAGCTCGGTAACCAGCACGCGGCGTGAAAGCGGAGAAAAATCTCCTGATGAATGCCGGCGTCATAAGGTAGTTTTGACCACCTCCAAATGCTGGATATATACACGTGAGGAAATCATACAAGTGGGCAGCGACTATACCCATACCATCGCTTAGGACCGCAGGCCATCCAGCCATGACTAAGGTGACTGCAAGTACTGCCCAAGGTAGATATTCAACGGGTATCTGAACCACGAAGAAAGTCGTCTTTCTACCACGATTTTCCTGAGAGAACGTATAAATGAAGGCCAAGATCAGAGCTAAAATGATAATTAGTAGGGGCACACAGGCGTAGTGCTACAACATGCTCACCAGAGGTAAAAGTTACGCTTCCCAGCAAACAGCCTGCGGTGAGCTTGGGCTTGTTAGTACAGGGAAGATAAATGGCAACGCTACATAAGATGGGGAAGCGGAGGTAATCCTGTAAGCAATTCAAATAAGGTATGTATTGAGAGATGTAGGGCACCATAACCACCAGCGTAAACCATGACATCACGCTAGCTATCTCACTGGTCGTCCCACCATACCTGCAACAAATATAGCCCTGAAAGGATCGATGAGGTAGGTACTATACGGATGCAGGGGTGATCTTCCTCGTTTCCAGGAACCGCTTCAGCTAGAATGCGCTGGGCGGGCAGATATGCGAGGTTTTTGAAATCGGGCAAGGATGGTAGGGGTAGGATAACAACGGCATGTCACATGGGAGGTAAGAAGACAAATGCCTCTGACTTACCATGATGATCAGAGCTACAAACATTGTATACACGAAGAAGTCGCCGGGACCGGATAACCTAGGCGATCCGGTTTCCAGAGAGCTGCCATAAGTGTACACTAAGGACACGTTAGCACGCCTTTCGGCGTGATCCAGGACGGCACCATACTGAAGTAGACATCCAGGAATAGGAAAAGCTTAGGCCGTGTGACCATGAATGGTGTGACCAACCTCCAGACCTCTGGTAGAAGCTTGATCAAAAGGTGGCGTTGAAAGACGATATAGTAACCATTCAAAAAACCAGCATATACTAGAGCAGACTGGATGAATGTAAGTGCAGATAGAGTCCTTGGTTTCATGTTAGTTCAACTCGCTCGGATTCAGAAGCCGCCATAGAGTGAGATAGCGCATGTGTCAGTAAGACATACCTGGTGACAGGAGGTGCGGACCAAAACTGATCCATTATGCAGTAGGTCTGTCCGGAGTCGAACAGCAGAAAATGTACCCTTATGTTATAGAACCGATTCCTGAGAACATTCACATTAGAAGATTCTCAATGGGCCTGTTGAGTCGGTTGCTGGATAGGATAGAGAAAAGGGCCACATATGGGTTAAGGAAGGGGTTCTTATAGGTAACTGCAGAATGGAAAAAGAAAAGTATCGTGTGGAACTCCTTAGCTCGGACGCGGGGGCTGATATTCCGTTCCGGTAAACGAGACGAGCACACTGTTATCCACCGGGGTGTGGACTCTGCATTACATACTGTACTGTACATATTACATAACAGTAACAATGCGGTGTCGGACCGCTTCTCTGCAGTAAAAGTATGTTGGGTACAAGTTAGCACTCCGTACCTGCTTCGAAGTTCAAATTGACTACCTTACCAAGGGGTATCAGCATTAGTTAGTTAAAATCAGTACCACTCAGAATATATGTGTCAGCCATAGTTTAATGGAATTCGCCACTTGGCCCAGCAACTGAATTAGTAAATAGGGCAGTCCATTGGTTGAACCTATCTACTCGTAGTTCGAACGACCAGTCCTTGGCCGACGTAGTTAGAAATGTCCGATGATTTTCTCAATCTCCCTCAGCAACATCTAGTAGATGTAGCAAGTTTTCTATCCTATTCAAGAGCGCCAACCCCAATCAGAGCATTTCATAAGTCAGAAAGGGTCTATTCGGAAGATAGAAGTTTGGCACGATGGCCGCACAAATTTCGGTGTGCAAATAATGATCGCGGCTGTTACATGAATATTCTGCTTGATTATTATATGTAGTTCTCTAGAAAAATGATCCCCGGTTCAAGCGCAGAACAGAGACAGGAAATAAGGCGGTGCAACATGTTCAATGTGTTGATAGAGCAATGTGTTTTTGTCGATGGTGGCAAAAGATCGGGCTATGTATGGAATGATGGTACGTTGTATTATCTCTGATATTGAGAGCTTGATCATAAACTGATGCATCGGGCGGTGTAAAGTATATATATCCTGGCCAGTGCACTTGATACCAGGCTATTTGCGAGGGCTATCACAATCTATGCTCTGTCCCAAGCTCCGAAGATTTTGAGATCAAAAGTTGACAGACAATATTACCAGAGACGGCTTGCCCGGGGTCCTAAAATAGTTGACCGAAGGCTATCCGAACCACATTGAAACCAGTGGAGATATAGTCACCTGAAACGAACGGAGACCTACGCACCAGTAATTGACCTCTGGAATTCGTCTCCCCTAGCATCCAGTCCACAACGACGATTGCTGCGGACCAAACTCGCGTCCGAGAAGTATGTAAGGAATTAACTGGGGCTGTTTCGTCCGACTAGATACGTTGGACATCGCGGTAAGCTAAGGTATGTTAAGACATTCAGAGCAAGTGAAGGGCGGCATCATTCACAGAAGATCGCATTGAACCGTGCCTCGCACAGCTAGTCCTCCGTCTTTACCCTCAATCCATACATCCCAGGCCCCCTTGTGATTGCCTGCCTTGGGCTTGCCACAAATAGTCATTTGCTCGCCGACGAATAGAGGTGCAATATTTCTGTAAGTAATTTCTTTGATCACCGAGCCCAGATCATCGATATGTTTCCCGAGAGCTGCGAGAAGTAACACCAAAGTCAATGGCCCATGCACAAGCAAGTCACTATAACCCTCTGTCTCCCGTGTATACATCTGGTCGAGGTGTATCGAGTGGGCATTGAAAGTGAGCGCCGAGAAACGGAAAAGCAGAGCTCTAGTCGGTGTCAGTTGGTGACGAAAGAGGGAACCTGTAGGGGCTTCAAGCCACAAGAAACATTGTCAGCATGCATGATGAAATGGCGCATCAAAGTCTCGGCGTACACTTAATGGTTCTGGATGCCTGTCCATGATTGGCCCTGGCACCGGTAAGCTGCTCCGGCGTCTTCTCGCGCATGAAGACCAAGTTTCGGTGCTCAATAATAGAGGAATGACCTGGATCAGCCTCCTCCTCTTTCCAGATTCGATCACGAATCTTGCCATAATTTTCCCCTTCTTGAACTGTGCCGATTCGTCTCTCTACTCTGACAGTCACCTTCTCTTCCCCAGTTTGACCTTTCACGAGTACATCACGAATGGTCTCGATGCACACAGCCCGGCGACCATCGAGTAACAGGTCACGCGTGGCTGGAAAACGAACGGTACCACCAGCCCACAATCGTCTGGTAAAAGGATATCCTGGGTAGTGCAGAATGTCTGTACCATCCGGCAGTAGCTGGGACAAAGGAACCTGTGGGGGAAAATAAACCAAATGGTGGCCAGGAGGCAGGCAAGATGGCTTGTTGATGGAAGGCAGAGCATCCAATGGTGCGTCTGGCTGCGGAAGGAAACCGGAGAAGGTCCGATCCAGAAGAAAAGATTGCTGAGGATATATATAATCAAATGCAAATGGCAGTGGTTGCGCGGTCAGCTTTTGATACAGACGCTCACTGAACGACGAGTGCTGTCGACGTGTCGCTGCGGGCCGCCATTGCTCCCTGGAACTGACGAGGAGGCTCCGCGTTGAGGGCGACTTCGGACCCAACATGCGTAAATCGGAGGGTAATTGGGTGATAATTGTTTCCAAGAAGGCGGAGGACCTGCCGATCAATGGAAAGAGGCAAACTAAATACTTAACTTACTGAGTAAGTTAGTCAACTTAGTTGCTTCACTGGTTATGTCAGCCGCGATTGCAGAAACCCAGCGCCTCTTAGCAGAAGGTCCCGGATCATACAACTCAAGGCACAGCATTCGGAGCAATGGAGCAGCCTATCCGAGTCACGTTCCTGGGCCCTGTAGCCTCCTTTTCCCACCAGGTCAGGAAAATTAGTCCACCCCCGCTGGCCCTTAAGCTATTTTACTAAAGCCCAGGAACAGGCTGCTGTTGAAACTTTTGGATCTTCTGCCGAGCTTGTGCCCCGTTTATCTTTTGCAGACGCGTTCGCCGCGGTGCAAGAGCAGAGAGCAGATTACGCCATTATACCTTGCGAAAATTCTACTAATGGATCTGTCGTCCAGACGCTAGACCTTCTAGCTGATCCAAATAGTCTTTATGGCAATCTGAAAGTGTGCGGGGAGCATTATCTAGCTATCCACCACTGCCTATTGACTCGCAAAAGTGACCTTCTTGATCAGCAGGACTTTCAATCCATCCGCAGGCTATACACCCATCCCCAGGCGTGGGGTCAGTGCGACAATTTTCTTGAGAAGTATTTCAAGGGTGTCGAACGGCAGGATGTCTCGTCCACTTCTAAAGGGGCGGAGATCGTTTCGAAAGACGCGACTGAGCGGACTGCTGCCATAGCCAGTCGCTTCGCCGCAGAACATCATGGTCTCGATATCCTTGCGGAGAATATTGAGGATGAAACGAACAACACAACGCGCTTTTTGATCCTGAAGAATATCACGGCCGATCGCACCGCTGCTTCAAGATTTGAGCAAATCAAGGCTAATGCGACGCCTTGTGGAACAGCAAAGAAGAAGACCTTAATCTCGTTTATGGTTCACCAGGACCGCACGGGCGCACTGGCAGATGCTCTTCTGATATTCAAAACCCATGGCATGAATTTGACGAGTATCAACTCACGACCAAGTCAGGCCCGAGCCTGGAAATATGTGTTCTTGGTCGAGGGACATTTAACTCCTACCAGTCGAAACGCAGGCGCAGTTTCGGAGATTTTACAGGGACTGAAACAGGTCACTGAGAGCTGCAGACACCTGGGAACATGGGCAGATCAGCTTATATTGGGTTCGGAAAATGCAGCAATCTAGGTGAGCCGCCGATATTCGTCTCTTCAAAGCGAGCCCCACTCAGTAACATCGCTGTAGCGGTTTCACTCCCTTGAAGACCTTATCATGCAATTGAACTGGTTGAGCTGAATCACAATTACACGCCGTCGGAGGAAATTTGCCAGGAAGGTAGTTTATGAGCTTGTTTCCTTAATTTATGGAACTTGCCAGGATTCACAAGATACCAGAATGTAAGAAAGTGAAAATATCAGAGTATAAAACGAGATCAACTCCAATACATAAAACACAACAGTCTAAAAGCACAAGCCCATCAGTTATAAGCTCGACAGCTATCGGTGAGCATTGCCACCGTCAATAGGACAATCCAATCAATATTCTTGAATGATCAGATTTGGTGGCATCCGAAACTGTCCGCATAACATCGGCTATTTTAATGCGGAGCTTGGATGGCCCTGCTAAAAAGGGAAGCGAAGCGTTAGCGGTAACTTATTTTCCAGACGTGACGAAACAACATACCTGTGGGCAACTTCAAATTACTTGCACAGGCGAAGTCATGGCTAATGCTAATAAAGCCATGGGATTGCCGTGGGAGCCGCCTTCACGTGTCACGGGGCGAGCCGTCAGAAGATCAGGTCTGAGAGCTTCTGGGCGTTCATCCTCGCTCTCTGCGAGGCTGCTAAACCGTCAATCTGTAATGGTGAAACATTAGGATGTGAATGTATTGACAAGCGTAGGGAACATACCGTCGTAGAATTCATCCTCATCTTCAAAGTCAGCAAGTTGTTCAAAGTTGACCTTGTATCGGAGCATGGCGCCGATTCCGCCAAAACCTTTCACAAACTGGTTTCCCTCGGTGGACTTATCAGAGACAAACTCAAGAGTCGCGCCGAAGTCCTTGTAGTTTTCCGCAAGCCACTCGAGAAACGAGGTTTGCTCACTGACTTCCATCTCGGTGCCGGTTTCCTTGTCAATAAACATTTCGCGATTGGATTCCTGAGCCTTGGAGGTATGAACAATGACGTCGGAGCCGCTAGCGCTTTTGAGGACCCATCGAGTGACATCGAGGTTCTCATAAACAATAAGAGTCTCTGCCGCGCCGAGTTCCAGTGCTTTGAGGGTGTCATCGATACCGTAACAGACCTTGCCGGTGTCCTGACTGATCTCCTCGAAGTACTTTCCAATGAGCTTCTTCTCTTGAACGAACTTAACGTTACTCAGAGTCTCTGCGGCAAGTTCAATAGCCTGATTGAAACCGTTCTCACCACCGTAGGACACGTCCACAACCTTGATGACCTTGGCTTGCAACCGCTGGTCGAACATATCAGACTGATTCAAGTCGTTTTTGAAGTCAGCGGAACCAGCCAAAATCAAACCAGCAACATTAACCTTGTCGTTGGTAATGTAATTTTGAACAGCCAATTCAGCAATCTTGCGCACGTAGTTATGACGCTTCTCCTCGCGAAGACGAGCGAAACGCAGGGCCGACTGACCACCACGGCCGTGCTTTTTGGGCAAATCAACACTCAGCTTCTGGAGAATTTCGCGAGTATTTCCGCTGAGTGTACCGAAAAGCGCGCCATTTCCATCCATGACAATGAAACCGAATTTCTGATCCGACTCCAAAAGCTCGCTGAGCGCTTCAGTGTGAAATTTGTTGTCACAGAGGTAGAGCGATGTATTGATCGGTTTGAAAGGTTCGAAATCAATGTTGATCTTCCGCTCTTTGCCCTCAGACGTGATGATTTCACCGCAGTAAACAACCAAGCCATTGGGGGGAACCTTATTGTACAGCTTGAGACGCTGCTGAGTAGACGTAATAGCGGAAAGCACGGAGAGCCGATTAACGCGGGACTTGATGTTGGATGCAGTGCCCTGCAAGTTTTATTGGATTAGCACCGCCCACATCAGGCCCATTGTATTATTCTTCTCTTACAAATTCTTCAGCCAACATCTTCGCAGCTCTAGAAATTTGATCCTTTGGCGCTGTGCGGGACTTGGGGTTAATAATAAGACCAGAGTCAAATACCTGGAACCGAAGACGTACGGATAATGAGAGAGATCATCGAGGTTCCGTTTCCTCGGGCCATCTCAAGACGCTTGATAAGCTTCTTGACCTTCCATATCTCAATATTCTTCTCCGCTTCGTTCGGCTGAGCCGCACTCATGTTGGGCGAGGCGACAGTACTACAACGAAAAGAAGTGTAAGGCAAAGCTGGCGGATTTCGCTGGTTCTGCTATCAGCTAATTTTATCGCAAGACAAGGGAGACAGGCGTGAAACAGAAAGAGAGAAAGGAGAAGGCAAACCGCCCGGGGACCGACGGCTGATAGAGATTGGAGACGTGAGCGGAGAGAGGTCAGAAGCGCATGCGTACCTTAAGCTGGTCGTTGTACCGTCCAATTCCAGCGGGGTGTTAAGCAAATTTCATCAGGCACCGTGGAGGGGGCGGGAATGGGATTGGAATGGGTCGGCAGTCGCCTGTTGACGATGACATAAGCGTCTTTCCCACAACCTACCCACAGCCAGGCCCAACCCATACGGTCATTATCTTGTTTCAACCAACCTCCGAAGCGAGGGTCAACCGTTTGCAAAAATAAGATCAATCGAAAATTGGATCATCTATGCTTCTAGATCTGGGGATGTGCAGGTCAAGGGAAGTAGACAGACTTCTTTCGGTCTCACAGAGCGGTGGTGCTGAACCGTAACAGTTTCCGACATGGAGTGGGGTACGGGGTACCTTGTACTGTACAGTCTAGTAGATTGATGCACAGAATGTATGTACAGTACATACAGTACATACAGTACTTACAGTATCTACACAAGTACTGGACCACCTGCATGCATCGGGGCAAAACCCTCCGTCCAAATCAAAGAAGTCGGCGTGCCTGAATGATCAAATGAATCGTGCCAGATCCGACTCCATGGGATTTGCCTCCTACCGGGTACTCGACGGGGTTTTCAAAGAAAATGAAGGCTCCTCCCCGGCCCAAAACAATAAATACACTGCCTGCAGTGTGAAAGCGAATCAAGACTTCGACCTTCTCGTCCTTTGGATCCCTTGTAGATTCTGCAGGTCTAGGCAGTAGTAAAAGATCGAAGCTGTCCCTTTAATATACCAAGGTAATATAATAACAGTGCTGTCGCTTACCAATTTGCTGTTATCATCATCATGATAGTCCGTGTCCGGCCCGATCATCCTCCACTTCCCATCACCCAAGCCTCGGAAACGCTCCCTCCAATCTTTGCATATTCTCATTCATTTGATTCCGTATCTCCTGGCTTGGGCGTCATGTTCTGGTCTGATGCTTATCAGACCCCGGTCCCGGTTCTTTGATATGAGTTCCCAGCCTCTGTTCACATAAAAAGGGGTCACGGCCGGCGAGAAAGACTCTTAGAATGGTCTCCCACCTTCCTCGTCATCATATTGATAATTAGTTGCCCGAACTTAACTAAGTCACTCCACCCAAACAAGCTTGGGACGTCCGTGAGTGCCACATTCGAGGACCTCAGCGCTGCTTTCCTCCTGCCTCTGCTCCTTCGCATCCTCCTGCTGGTACCTAAAATAGTTACCATTCGTTCCTCTTCTCGACCCCTAACACAGACACTCATCTATTGCGCCTTTTTCACAGCCGCCGCCAAGCAATTTTCGCTGCAGCGTACTGATCCCACCTCGAGACCCAGCACGAGAAGCCAAGTCGGGCGCATCCAGAAACACCTGATGCCTCCATCAACCTTGCCTATAGATGATGGGTTCGAAGGTCCAAGCCGCCATCGGCCCACATCACATGGCAGGCCAATCTCAACGCCATCGTCTGAGGCCGATGTGCTTGTCCATACACAGGCTCACAGTTTCGGCAGCAGCTTCTCGGGAGATAGTGATTACGTACCAAGGTCAAGGTAAACCAAGTGGTTTCCCCTTGCAATGGCGGTCAACGGCAGTATCTGATTGAGTAATTCAGATCAGCCTCCTTCTCCGCGCGCTTTCGGCAGGCCGGCGGTGTTAATAGCATTGACAACTTCGCACGATCGTGGCAGCGAGCCGCAGGTTTCCCAGAAGTTCTTCCTCGTCGCCCTTCCTTCGTGGCAGTTGATGCAGAGGAAGACTGGCTTACTCCAAGAAATGATTCCCCTAGGTTGCATGATCAGCGCGAACAAGAGGCGGATGTTACACAGCCTCTACTGAGCTCTGATGGGGGTATAGAAACTCGCGGTACCACTGCCCAAGTCCATTCAGGATATCCGATCCCGGGTGCAGATAGATGTGAGCCCCTACTTGGGACTTCCTACGGTACTATCTCGTCCCGAGTCAGTGAAGCAGCGCGGAGGAATGCGGTGCAACTTCATAGGGAGCAAAAAAACCGCAGCGATACGACAATGGATCCCGAAGGGGAGTCATTACTCGTCAAGCAAGTTCAACACGATGATGGTACACGCGAATGTGTGGTTGTTGGACAATCTACCGTACCACAGACTATTTTCAATTCCGTAAACGTCTTGATCGGGATCGGTCTACTTAGCCTACCATTAGCCATGAAACAAGCGGGGTGGCTTATCGGCCTGACGTTCCTGCTCTTCGCGGCATTCACAACAGCATATACAGCAAAAATCCTTGCAAAGTGTCTGGACGTTGACCGAAGTCTCGTCACATACGCTGACCTAGCGTATATCAGTTTTGGGCATCATGCGCGCTTAGTGACAAGTCTATTGTTCTGCCTGGAACTCCTCGGAGCTTGTGTCGCCCTCGTTGTGCTCTTTGCAGACAGCCTGCAAGCTTTAATACCGGGTCTCAGTCTTCTTCACTGGAAAGTCATATGTGGGCTCATGCTTATTCCGCTAAATTTTCTACCTTTGCGACTCCTCAGTGTGACGAGTATCCTTGGCATTCTGTCTTGCACATCTAGTACGTATGCTGTCTTGAGAGGCTACTGTGATACTAATCTTTAGCGTAGTTGTTCTTATCATATGTATCGATGGGTTACTGAAAACAACACCGCCGGGCTCGCTGCTTCAACCAGCCCGAACCTCCCTGTTGCCAGATAATTGGGGAACGCTTCCCCTCAGTTTTGGACTTATAATGTGTAAGTTTGAGGTTGGACAAAAAAGTCCATCGGTCTAACTAACGTGTCATAGCACCGTGGGGCGGCCACGGTGTGTTTCCAAACATATACCGGGATATGAGGCATCCCCAGAAGTACAACAAGAGTCTCTTGGTGACGTATTCCTTCACTGTAAGTTACCTGCGATTGAAAAGGGAGAAAACAGAGGAATCCCTTCTACTGGCTCTAACGACGGTACTTCGCAACAGTATTCCCTCGATTGCGCGATGGCCATTGTGGGCTGGCTTATGTTCGGTGATACAGTCCGAGATGAGATTACTGCCAATATTTTGTTGACAACGGAGTACCCACGGGCATTATCTATTTGCATGATTACTTTCATCGCAACTATACCAATCACGAAAGTTCCCTTGAAGTAAGTTTTAAGTATTTCTGGCCTGCTCTTCTCGCGCCCCTCAAAAGAACCTTTGCTGACCGAAGCGGCGCAGTTGCCGCCCTCTCGTGGCTACCATCGAGGTTCTTTGTGGACTTGGTCCACGTTCTGAAAGATCAACAGGGCATGGAGCAATGAGATCTATATCCCGCGAAGCTTCAAAGGCGGCGATACGTACAACGATCATTGTCCTTATTGTTTTCATGGCAGTTCTCTTTCCGTCATTCGACAGAATCATGGCGCTAATGGGCTCGGCTTTGTGCTTCACGATATGCGTTATTCTGCCGCTTGCATTCCACCTGAAGATCTTTGGCAAAGAGATTACGCCGTGGGAAAGACTGCTGGACTGGATTTTGCTGGTCACGTCTTCAATACTAGCGCTCATCGGAACCACTTGGTCTTTCATGCCGCAAGAAACCATTTCTGCGATGTGAAGGTCGACTTCAGGGTTCGAGAGCAGAATGCTCCACCTTTTCATCGTTGCTACCATATGCAACACATGCGTCATTTGACGATAATAGCGAAATTATTCCTGACCTTGCCGGGGTTCAGGGTATCTTTGGTGAAAGATTTGGGTTCGCAAGCCCCAGTATAATCCCAAAGCTGATAGATAAGTTTATGTGTTTTCTTGCTGTTTGATAGAACAAAACCCATACTTGACATGATTTCTTGCAGCCGGGCTTCCGTGAGGTAGCGAGAGTTATTGACGCAGGCCGCTGGCAGAACGAGAAACAGGCAAGGGCACGCAGGTTGACATAGTCCGGAGGGTGGTGTTTTTGTAAGAAAAGATGTACAGCGCTTCAACATTTCACCTCTGACGACGGCGTCTGGCACGTAATTGAGAACTAGGGAAAGACTGATAATATGAAATTGTTCGTCCTCGTTTTCTGGGAGAGGCCTTTCCATAAAATCTTGCTTCAAGATCCCTGCCTCTTGTGAATTGAGATCAATCCTGGTGACCTCAAGCGATTTGTTCATGGAACAAGCGTTCTGTGTGCTGAGAGCCCCGATCTCGAGCACACGGAATCTGCATGATTTGCTCTTTAGCGGCTGTAGTCGAGGAAATATCCAGTTAACTAGAAGTTTGCTGGAGTCACCGCCACGAAGCGATGACTGACCCAATTTGCTCGCGATTTGGTAACTTTCTAGACCACCATTTTCTTGAATCTGAGCATCTATCTTGGTCACCAAATCTGCATCCTCGGTTTGCAGGGCTTGCGCTCGTGCTTTGAGTAATCGATGATGTGAGCGAATGAGGTTTCGAGTCGCTTTCGCCGACAGGCTTGCGTGGCTTGGCTTGACTGTTGGTGGACGGGTACGGGAAAGAAGAGTCGGCCTTTTAGGCCGTTGTCTTTTGGGGATGACCATTCTCGCTGGGTGCGTCGTGACTTGGCCCCAGATTTTACAGTAGAAAACTGGAAGGCGTGTGCGACGCCTACTTAGAACAACACCGACACATATTTAGTAGAATTCGACTGGCCCCGACGGTCGGACTAAATGGGTCATTTGCACCACACGTGATATGAAGCCATTAACTCCGGCTTAGCTAACTAAAGTTAGTTAGTTCGTTAACTAGTAGCCGTGACGCTTACTCAGGTCACCTCGCCACTGTCGAGCCGACGGATGGATTAGTTAAGTCTAGCCTGTTTCAGTGGCCGCCAAGATATCCGAGCAGCCTGGAGAGCGGGAAGGTCAGGTGACCCACACAGTATCCGTAGGGTTTTCGCTAAGCGAATACCTTCCAAATAATTCGACTCTCGACACTGCGACAATCACCACGACAGCGCCGGACGACAGCCATGGCCCCTAAGGTGGAAAACAAGCAAGGTAGGTCAATCTGGTGCGCTTTCATCGCAACGTTCGATTTGGCAGATTTTCTTTTCGCGGATCCCGAGTTGGCGAGCATCGAGTGGAATATTCAGGTGGCAGTCATAGAAATCGACGCAATCCTCATTTCAGCATGATCGAACAAGAAGGATATTGCGGAAACGAGTTTTGTATTGCTGTGGCACTCAGATGACTTGATATGGCTTTGCTTTGTGGGCCAGGCGTTGCGATGAACAATTTTCTCTTATGGAACCAAAGGACTGACATCTGGGATTGTATAGGCAAGACCAAGCCCAGCGGCAAGGCTGGTGCTGCTGCCAAGGCAGTTCTGAAGGGTGCAGGCGTATGTTCTACGACCCCGAGTCACCAACGTGCTGGTTGATACTGAACGTTCCATGATTTCCAGGCGCACAAGGCCCGCAAGGTCCGCACCTCGACCACCTTCCACCGCCCCAAGACCCTTCAGCTTTCCCGGTCGCCCAAGTACCCTCGCAAGTCGATTCCTCACGCCCCTCGTCTCGATGCCCACAAGGTCGTTCTCTTCCCCCTTAACACGGAGAGCGCGATGAAGAAGATCGAGGAGAACAACACCCTTGTGTTCATCGTGGACGTCAAGGCCAATAAGCGTCAGATCAAGCTTGCTCTTAAGCAGTTGTACGACGTCGATACCGTCAAGGTCAACACTCTTGTCAGGTACGTGGACTGGCCATTCCACCCGCAGCGATGAGCGGTGGTGAATCTAACACTCCTATAGACCCGACGGCTCGAAGAAGGCTTACGCCCGTCTGACTCCCGACGTCGACGCTCTGGACATTGCCGCCACCAAGTTGGCCATCGTCTAGAGGGGTTTCTCGGGACAGTATGGAGTTTCTTTTTGTTCTGCGCGGTGGTTCCTCAATATCAAATATACAATTACTGCTAGTGCTTCAATGAGGGCGGAATGATCAAAAAATGAAAAGAATTACCCGATTTCATGATATAGTAATGAAGTACAGGCGTTTCAATATGGTAGCCATTTTCATATTATGTCTTATGCTGTAGCGAGAAACTCCAAACAGTCGAGCCTGCCTTGTGACAGGCCATGGCACTTACGGCTCTTCTCGGATAGAGGTTAAGCTGATTGAATTTCCAGAGTCTTACCAGCGAGTAAGGTCGAAAACCTTACAACCTAGAGAAAACATATCCTGGTATCACCGTACGGAAAGGATTTCAATGCGAACAGGGAGAGCGTAAAGCCTGAGGGTTCCGTGACAGCAGACCGAGCGTCTAGGTAGAACAAGATACAGAAAACCAAGAAACAAAAAAACAAAAGAAAAGTTTGTGAACACCTGTCGGAACAGGAAGCTTTTATTGTCCCCGAAGGTTTTCGAGATGCTTCAAGACAGCGAAGTTCGTATCCATCCATCGCTCCACACAGTTCTGCGCACAAGCTTCCTCAGGCTGGTCCAGGCGACCTGACGAGATCTTTCCGGTGATGCACTTCTTCCAACAGATATCGGCAAGGCCATGAACAGCTGGTAGTAGAGGTCAGCCGACGTTAGTTGACAACTTGCCCGTTCAACCTTCATCTGAACAACTTTCCAGGCAACCTGTTTGACTTACTTTGCTGGATATTGGATTTCTGCGCCTCATTTGCGAGGTACTGGGTCAATTCTTTTCTGTCGCCATCGTTGAGCTTGGCGATGTCGAGCTGCGTCTGAGGATCCATCGTGGGCGGACACAGGATGGGAAAGGTAAGAAGTGGGCGATCGGTTGTTAAGAAGATGCGTCGCAGTCGGTCGGCTGGTGTCTATTCGGTTGAATGAGTGAGCTCTTTGCCTTCTGTTACCAAAGTATTGGGAACTGTCGGGGCGGTGTATGCAGGCAGAAAGTGCCATCGGCGCCCATGTCCGGCCAAGGTTTCATTTGATAGCTGCCAGAGCCTCGCGGTAGCATATGGTTCACTCTTCTTCCCATTCTATCACCTTGAACGAATCTCCAGCTCCAATATTACGCCTCGGTCGATCTTTTCCAATAAGTATGCCTCCTATCCGGACTTCCCGCAGTCGCAAGCCACCTCCGGCTGGTTTCGACGATATTGAGGATACCTTACTCGAATTCAGCAACAAGATGAAAGATGCAGAGAATGCGTCGCACGATGGAAAAAAGAAGCACGAGGTTCTGTGGCCCATCTTCCAAATAAGTCATCAAAGTGCGTTTTATCTTCCTCCGCTATCTTGACAAACAGCGATTCTCTTGTCCTGGAGCTTGATCTAGCAACACATGCCCATCTTAGTGGCTGACAGTGGTAGTTCAGGGTCCCGATACATATATGATTTGTACTACGAGAAGGAGGCTATTTCAAAACAACTTTATGAGTGGCTTCTCAAGAATAACTATGCCGATGCAAACTTGATTGCCAAGTGGAAAAAGCAAGGCTACGAAAAGGTCTTTTCTTTTATCCCTTCCATTAACCCTTCTGTGTCAACGGTGGCCCATCAATATGACCAATTTGCTGACTTGGTATTGTATCCGCGGTCAAGTTATGCTGCCTCCGCTGCATACAAACAAAAGAAACGAACTTCAATGCAACCTGCATTTGTCGGGTCCCGAAAGCGCAACTCAAGGAGGACCAAACGATTCAATGTGTAAGTTGCGGGTGTCGAGGCTGTGCAAGCAGCGACTAGATTTGCGCTAGTAAGCATGCGAATGTCGGTCAGCAATTCTTTGCGCGATGTTCAATCCGCCTCAAGATGCTCAGAACAAAGGATGCGGATTGACCTTGGATACGGCGTTTGGGCGGGTATGATATTTTGGCCTTGTCTTCTCGAATGAATTCATTCTTATTCTCCTATAAATCTTGATTGGAGAAATTCGTCAATGTTGTCTATTTTCAACTGGTTGCATGTTCGATTACTATTCTACGACCATTATGATACCCACTACAAGAAATATGACCATCTAACTAACGTCTTGCGGCAAGATACTCGAAATTCTGAGCAGAGGTAGAATGCTTATCTATCAATTCAATTCCAATTCAGAACCACAGACGGTATTATCTCGGGTACATACAAAATCAGGAATAAAACTTTGAGGCTCGTGGAAACATTTGTGTGCTCGTGCACATCTGGTCAGATGTCGTCGTAAAGGTCATAAGGTATTCATATAGGCGCAATGATCAATCGCCCTCCACACCAAGAACGCCAGAAATTTGAAGTGGACGGGGGATGATAATCAAGAGAATGCAAACCAATCGTCCTGAGTAGAAAAAGCAAGCAAGAAGGGGAAATCGGGTCCCTAGCCCTGCCCCAAAAGTGTATCATCATGCGTAAGACAGCGAATTCAGAGAAAATTATTGCATCTAGCTCACTGCTAGAACACGTCGAACGACTCACTGCGGGTTGCATTGAACCTGGTACACATTTTGTACTTTGCAAACCATCGCATAATCAGAACAGGGACGTGTTGCTGCGATTATTGAACTGCGGCCTCGGTGGATATGATTTGAGACGGGAGGGTTCTTCCTTGTTTGCATCCCCAATCTTCTGAAATCCCTGCAAAAGGTCGACGCCATCGACCTCTCCTGGGCTTTCATCGAAAAGGTGGAATGAAAAGAAGTCATCATGCGCGGAGTCAGTATAGCGCCCAGCTTCTGGGGCTTTTGACGGGGAGTCAGGAAAGAAAAGACTCTTTTTGTTAGATGATATTAATGGCACGCCAGTCCGATTGTTGACACTGACTGCTGTGATATCTGCCAGTACACTGCCGCTGGAGCCGCCCGGTTCAGTTCGGGTACGCTTGGCTGAGCGTTTCTCAGGAGAACCGTAGGCCGGAGTTGATATGTTATCCGTGGCAGAATCTGCAAACACATCGAAGCTCGTGTTGAGGCCGTCACCGGGGGTGAAACTTTCATCTTGAATATTGAAGGCGGGACTCCATGGAAGATCCTCATCCATTAATCCCAGATGTTTGATCGGAGAATTTACCATTTGCTGAATTCTCTTTCGATGGTTACGAAGGTTAGTGTTCGGTGACACGGATGGCGGTGGTTTCGCTGGTTTCTTGAATTTGATCAAGGGAGTAATTGGAGGTGGGAGCATGCTAACAAATTCGCCGCGGAGTGGAGAGGAATTAACAATTATTCCTGATTCTTTCATCACTCCACAATGGCTAGGGCTTGTGTCGTGCGAAGAGCTTCGAATCCGAGCAATCTCTTCTTCTGCCCTGCCGCGTTTGATGCGAGGGGGTTCCAAATCCAAATCTGAAGTTAGGATATGCCCGGCCTTATTTGGTCGCATAGCGGAAGATTCCAAGGACGAGAAATAGCCGCTATCGTTCATAGCATGCGTTTTGCGCTTGCTGTGCATAGGAGCAATGCTAGAAGTCAAAATATTCTGGGATGGTGTTGGAGGGGTTCCTTGCCGGGAGTAGCGGGGGGGTACAACAGGAGGTGAGGAGTGTATCGGCTGGGGAGGGGAAGAGCGAGGCGCGGGGGCCTGTGAGACATTGGCATGTGCACTTTCATCCCCTGTATCTTCTTGTAGAGCGGGGTCAGAAGCAGGAAGTGTTGCGTCAGATGACAGGTCCACTGCTTTAAAGGATTTCGCTGCGGCAGCATATGTAGGTTGCGGAACAGCCCAGGTCGTTGTACTAGAGCTCTGGAAGGGAGCCGGGTCACGAGGAGGAGCCGCCGGGAGTGGAAGACTTGACATTGTCGCTCGGCGCAGAGGCTTGTCTTTGAGAAATTGCGTTTCCATTCCAGGCTCAATGGCCCAGTAATTGCCTTTTCCAGGGTCATCTTTCGGTCGCTCTTGCTTAATAAATGCTTTGTTGAGGCTGAGATTGTGACGTATGCTATTCTGCCACCCGGGATCACTGTTCTTGTAGTATGAGAAAGTGTCAGATATCCACTTGTAAATTTGAGCGAGTGTGAGTTTTCTATTTGAAGCACGTAGAATAGACATTCCGATTAAGGTTGCGTAGCTGTACGGCGGTTTCGTCCCGTCATCTTCGATCAGTGGCAGTTCGTATGGTTCTGGAAGCCGCATCACGGTGATGTCTTCGCGCTTTGGCTTCTTTGTTGCTCGCTCCTTGAGTGGTGCCGCGTCTAAAAGCGTCCTTTTCATGGGATGTTTGGATATCAAGGGCGGCTCAGGGAAGTCGGCGAAACTATCACTGGGGGTATCGTCCAACATCCGAGTCTCTTTATGTAGGCGCTTTCCAGGGTTCACTGAGGGGAACGTTGTGAAAAGGGCAGACTGCGGCATCGATGGATGAGCAGCAATATGACTGAACGCGGGAAGAGAGGGTCGCTTTGCGGGTGAATCGGTGGTAAAAGCTGGCGGAGGGGGGGCTGTGATCGAGACGAAACCTAACTTCCCTCGCCCAGAAAGTGAAGCAGCTGATCCTCTATAGGCTTTTGTTGGGGATATTCTCCGGGAGCCAGAGGTAATCGGATACAAGACGCGGTCTTGATTCGAGCGGGCGTTTTCGATAGGCTGCAAAGGTAGCGGCGAAGGTTCCAAATGGGGACGTGGCTTGCACGCGCCCCTGCCATGAGGTGGTGAGGGCCCAGAAACAGTGGAAGCTGAGCGTGAACTCATAGTTGCGCCAACGCAACCTGCCAAAAGGGTGAATGGGAAGTCGACGACCCTTGAACGCGCCGCAATCTCCTGGGGTAAACGCAAAAGTCTCAAGCAAGAGATGTTGGGCTTCAATAAGGCACCGATAACGGAAGCAGTCCAACTTCAAGTAGTGCCGCGACCAGGTGAAGCCCAGTAAAGAGAGCGGCGCTCGTACGGCGTTATGATGAAAAGGTATGTGCTACAACTTCTAGTGACCAGAATACCTGATGCAGAGTGGAGGCAGCATGAGAAAATGGCAAAGGTCGAATCAGCCGAGGCGAGATGGGTATCGCGATATGACTGATGTTGACCTGATGAAACTAAGCTCTTCCTCGCTTGCTGTATTATTGGTGAAATGATCCAGCTGTTGCGAGAAGGAGAATCAAAGTGGAAGATATTATGCTGATTCCGTGTCCGGGTGCGATGAAGTTGTAGGTAAATACGGCAAATATGGCAAGGTGATGGAGACTGACTGGGTCAGTAGGTTATCGAACAAAGAGGAGATAACCGGGAAGGCGGCTCTCGCCTCTAAATTCAAATGCCTTTGCCTGGTAAGGTAGGTCCCTCCAGGCAAGGTGGGGGGGAGGGGGTGGAATATGCGCGAGATATTTAGAGAACAGCAATTCTAGTTGATTGAAGAATGAAAGGGAAGAACAGCCATCAAGCTGACCTGTTGATAGCCCTGCGCGTCTCGTCACATTGTATGGTATGGTTTCAACGCGTGGTCAAGACGCGTCTCTAGGAGCGGAGAACATGCTCGTGCCCAGAATCCCAGGCTCTAGTATTGTCACAAATGACAATACATATTGAACTTGGTTCACAGGGCATGTATAATAAATGATTGGTCTCCTTGCTCGATCGCCACCAGGAGAGCAGCTCTCCTCCAATCACTTGCTGCACAATTGGCAGATCATGAGGTGGGCCACCCGCCTCCCCTTCGATTAGAGTATTAGGCTACCTACTTAGTAGTATTGCCCATTGCCTAGTAGACTACTAGCACTGCACATAAGTATTGCGAGGCTCCGATACTCACAATCTTTACCGTAAATTGCTACATAGCAGTGAACAGTGAGCAGTGAGCAGTGAGCAGTACACTTACTACGTAACGTTCTATGGCTAAAGACTTTTCTCCCCACATATACCCACCCGAGCTGATATCAGTCCATGAGGCAGGCATGTGAGCCCTGTGCATAAAGTGCAAGGTGGTCAGTACCTGCATATTGACTATGGATGGGTGTACGTACAATACATGGTTATATTACATTCTACTCCGTCGGCGGTGTTGACCCCTCCCTTTTCGTTCGACCAGAGTCGAGCGGTGTTCTATCTGGGACCGAACTTGACAACCTCCAAACGATTTAATACATGAATGATAAAGTAAGGCACATCCTGTACTAATAGACACTTGTCAAGGCGATGGGCTTTCTTCCCTCTTCTTTCTTCCTTGATTGCAGTTAAGCGGCTCAGTCCCTAGTACTGTAATTGGAGTTTTCTTCGAGCTCAAACTTCTCAGTGCAAGGCCCAGGCTGCATCTGCAAGGGGCGCATCGTCCAGAAAGCGGGTCTATTCGTATTTGGTTTAGCCTAGGGATTTCCCGCAGTCAAGGGTCGGCCGCCTCTCAATTCAGACTACGTCAATTTAGGCGACGGCTTTGAAACGGCAATTAACATGACTTCATTAGTTCAAAACGACCTTTCTTCAACGCTTGAGAACTTGTGACGCGCTTTTATAGCATCGACTTCTATGCAACAGACAGGGAAGGATGGAATTGCTGTTCTATCGGATTGGTCTAGAAGTTCCGATCTTTCAGAAAGGCTGAAGTAGCATAGGGCGCTGACACATGCACGCCCACAAAGGCAAAAACGACAAAGGAAAAATCACAAGAGAAAGGAAAGGTATCAAAATTAAGAAATGGCAAAGTGGATACACACACTAAGGAGAGGCCAACAAGACAAGTCCTGCACGCAACCAGCAATATGAACAAGTTGGGAGCTATTTAAAAGACACAACCTGAGATTGAGATCAGTGTGAATCAAAGTCGAGCTTTTCACAGGCCGGAACTTGCAAAGGATATCTTATAATGCCAGAAACCACGATGCATTTTACAGACAGTACAAATGAAGCAAGCAAAGTGAAAAGAGCCAACGAAACCAAAATCTAATCTAAAAATGTGAACATGCTGGTGTGAATTATGTTTAGAGCGCGATCGGCATCTCTCTCCTCAATGACGCAAGAGATATTGATCTCGCTGGCACCTTCATACACAATGTTAGTCGGCGTTTTTGCGACAGGATAAGTAGATGAAGTTACCTTGAGAGATCATCTCGATGTTGACATTGTTCTCACCTAATGTTGAAAACATCCGTCCTGCAACTCCAATCATGTTCTTCATCTGCTTTCCCACGAGACTGAGAATGGCCATTTCCGGTATGATGTCGACGGTCCCGTATTTCTGGAGGTCCTGAATAGCTCCCTTCAAATCATCATCTATGATCTGATATTCGTCCCTTCCTGTCCCATTGAGAAGTGGCATCTCGGAGTGGAGGGCCATTGACACATGCACCTCGCTCGTCGAGATGAGATCAATAGAAAGTCTCCATCGATCGAGCACAGAGAAAATTCCGGCGAAGAAGCCATGAGAGAGCGACCGTTTATTGGAATGTACGTTGATAACGAGGATTTTATGTTTGATAGTCACGGCCGTTGGGCGCTTTGGCCGCTGCACAAGACTAGGACTCCGAGTACGAAACAGTCTTGGATCGTGGCCAGGGGTCGTCTTATCCAACTCACTGGAAGAGTCAGGAAAGATAATAGTGCCGTCTCCCCTCGGGTTCATGACATTCTTTATGCGAATAGGGATTTTGGCGCGAATGACTTGCTCCATGGTGAAAGGATGAATCACCTCCGAGCCATAGAATGTCAACTCAGCTGCCTCTGCCGGCGTGATCGCAGGAAGCAGGCGTGCTGTTGGCACCTTCCGTGGGTCCGCGGTAAAGATGCCATCAACTTCTTTCCAGACCTGCAATTCCTTCGCGTTAGTCCCCACGGCAACTAGAGCAGCGCAGAGATCAGTGTAGCCCCGGCCAATCTGATCCAGAAGGCCACCAGGCACTGTTCCAAAAAATCCCGTAACGACAGGGACCCGATCCTCGCAATCTCGGATCTTCCTTCCGAGAGTAGCAGCCAGAGTATTATAAAAGTCCTGATCAAGACCCTGACTTGTTATAGGGAAATCAATAATCTCGGCCAAATCCACATATTGCGACTTCACCCCCCGATCTTCGAGGAAAGCGGCCATAAGTCTGCAGCTTAGCTTCTCCCCAGTACTGATCACTTTATCAATGCACCTTGCGCTAATCTCGCCCAGTGTTTGTGCAGCCTCCAATACCTTGAGTACTTTATCACACTCGTTATTTATCTCGGAAACCAGCCGTGACTTGAGGGTGATTGACTGAATTTGATCATCGACTACCTGGATATGTTCCAGCCGGACAGCCTCTACAAGAGAGGCATATTGCTGAGATAAGGCATCTTCTGCGTCCCGCGCTGCTCGAAGCAACCTAACAATGAATCAAATGGTTAGATTCTGAAACGACCAGATTCGACAGTCGCTGGCATATTGGTGGGAGGGTGTGGGCAAAGTAACCGCGATCGTCACGAATGCGCAGGAGGGGGGGGAGGGGGGGGGGGAAGAGGAATATGACTCACCGGTTTGTGGTGCCAGCAGCTTTGGTCGAACTACTCCTCGCTGAGCAGACTACAGCAACACGATTCTCTGAGAGACTCGGGCTGGATTCAGGCAAGTGATTAATATTCCCTGTGGTGGGCTCGCTCCTAGGAAAAAGTTATTTGGAATACTTACAGAACGACTTGGTCAATGATATTCAAGGCGAACTTGCCGACGCTCGTACCACCAAACTTCTGCACGATCCAATTGCTGCCAGACGATGACGATCCCTTTAGGTCGGCATTGACCATGGATAATGAATTGCGCTCGAAGACGAGCGGTTCATTCATACTGGTGACTGGATTAGCAGGTTTGGGGCCTTGCGATCAAGAAGTAAGTTGCATGCCCTGGCGATTCGGCTCCGGTCGCGGGACAGCCATTTTTATGTGCACCTGGCGGGGGTCTGCGAAAGCGGAGTACAGCACTGACATAGTTGAGCGAATCATTCTTTGCCTCTAGCCGTTCCGCCTTCTATCGTGCGGATCACGATATCGGAGGGTAAAAGTCTGATTGTTGTATATGTCTATTAGTCACGGCTTTGACTTAAGTAACCAATATTTGAGTCAACTGACATGTTCAGTCTGGACTGGTCATGTCGAACAACAACCCCGAACTGGACTAGTCAGCCCGCTGGCTGAGACTGCGTCATCTATAGTGACTACAAGTATTTGCCCCTCCGTGTTTCTATGAAAGCTCATTGCATGTACAGAGAAGCATGTACATGTAAGACCCATCAGATCTTTGATTCTCCTTAAGTTAGAAGTTCTGAGTATTTGTAGACCCACTGAGATCGACTCTTTCAGTACAGTGACCAAGGGTTGACGTCACGTGGGATTGTTTGAGTCCTAATCTGAATCTGAAGAGCTCGGGTAGTATTCCGTAGTATGTGATATTTTCATCGACCACAAAAAGCCTGCTCTGTGGTGCGTTCCATCGAATAAATATTATCGCGGAAGCCGTGGCCGGACACTGAGCTTTTCATCTGTATGCATTCGTAGTTCAACGGTGCTGAACGTGCCCCACAAGGCAGCAATTCTCCCTAGTCTGGTGGTGTGTGCTAGTTAGTATATGGACTGTAATCTTGCCGTCGATCCACCTATTTCTCCTGGCTAAATTGCATCCATCCAGCGGCTACGGTCTTGTCTTCGGATTTTCTCTCATTCCCTGTCATACGTCGAATGATTCTTCAGCCGCATTCCATGAAGTTTGTTTTCAAAAATGGATCATCGAACCGAGGGCGATCCGACGTGTCCTTTTTGCCCCTTCTCCGACACAGACAGTAATTTTCTTGCCGAGCACGTGGAAGCCTGCCATCCCGATAATGACACACGTACTAGTCAAGGAGAAGACTACCGGTATGCGGACGGAACTTTTGCGATGCAGCAGCAAGTATCGCTGTCAAATGCTAAAGAGGTCATCCTGAGTAGGTATATGGAATGCCCATATGGCTGTGGTGAGACTGTCATGGAAGCGGAGCTGCCTGCTCACCTTGACTTACACGCCGCGGAAGAAATTGCCCTTGGGGAGGCGCCAGCTCACTCACCAGTTCAGCCATCAGAAATCGCTAGACATGCTCATGAGCCATTAATCGGCAGCTCACCATACCCCAAGCTTCCGCTTGAAAAATTTGAGCCACGCACTGCGTCAAAACATGGACATGACAAGTATCTCGCAGGGGAAATCAAACGACTCGGGGTATTAATTCTACCAGGCTCTTCATCTCTATCCACGTTACAGATAGTTCTATCTGACGCACGGGTGATGCAATACGCTAACACCTTTATAGCGGTCCGAGTTAGGGCCTCATGCGCACGAAAAGCAAATGCCCTCCTGGCTGCGAAGAATGCTTGAAAGGGGCCAGAAGTCGATTTTTACAAATACCCTTACTACCAATGGTGCACTCCGAAGAACTGCAGCTTTCGAGAACGAAATGACGGATGTAACCCCTGTGCTCGCTCGGTTATGTGGCCGAGATAAGTCTGTTCAGCGCGCCTTTCTCTGTAGCTCCATGGTCCATCAGATTTCGAAGGTTCCCAAGGAGGGTGGGTTTTGTGGTTACAGGAACATCCAGATGCTTATCACTTATATTAAGAATGCACGGCTCCCAGGGCATGAGCGCTTCCCAGGGGACTTGCCCACGATCCTGCAACTCCAGGATATGATTGAGAACGCATGGGATCAAGGATTCAACAGTGTAGGGAAATTTGAAACTGGAGGCATTCGAGGAACAAGAAAATATATTGGCACACCTGAGGTAAGACTGTTGGGTGGAATATGAGGTGTCCGGAAGAACAATAGCTAATAAATGACTATATAGGCTCAAGCGCTGTTCTCGAGCCTTGGAATACAGTAAGTTGCTCGCTCTCCTCAATGGCGCCCCAACGCCAAAAGCTGATAAAGTTTAGCTGCGAAGCCAATAGTATCGGATCTACGGAGAGCGTGCGAGCCCATGATGCATTGCTCATGAACGTTGCTTCTTATTTTCGGGGCGCATGCAGTCTGGAGAGCAGCGACAAGGTCATTTCTACAAGCTTGGCTCCCATCTATTTTCAACACCAGGGTCAGAACAGCTCCTGCCTTCCGTCCTTCGCGACTACCAAGATCTGACATCCGAATGTTCATGCGCAGGACACTCTATGACGATTGTTGGGTTCGAAATTCGTGACAATGGAAGTGCGAACTTACTGGTTTTTGACCCGATTTTCAAAGCACCTCTTGCAATAAAACGACTCAAAGACACTCCAGGGTTGAGTCCAGAGCCTATCCGGATTCTCAAAGGATACAGACGAGGGACAGAGTACCTACAAAAGTATAACGTATTCGAACTCCTCAAGTAAGCCATAGCTCACCGCGGTGATACAACCTCTAACTCTCGAATTCAGACTCCAGGCCACCCGATAAATTTCCAGTTCACCGCCTGCCATGGCTCTCAGAAACAATTGCTTTGAACCGTAGTAGACCGCTCAGCCATGTATTTTCTATGATATTACCAGGCACGGAACACTTTCCTCTGAAGCGCATATCAGCCCGTATTGAATAAACATATCCAGTATAGATTGCTTACAGAACCTGGAATCATTTTCCATTTCGAACCAGCTTGGTCAACCTCTACTTACGGTGGTGGTAATAGGTTCGGTGTAATACAGATCGGTTATCATCGGTCAGTGTGTTGTTCCGGTCGTGACCCGACCGAACCCCGCCAGAGATTTCCCCTTGCTAGGACTTACCGATCACCGCAAAAGGTTTCAGCTATACAACGTGTACAGCGAGGTTCAGTATGCGAACGGTTCCGAATATAATCATTACAGGTACACCCGGTGTAGGGAAAACGGTCCACTGCGCACAGTTGGCTGAAGAAACCGGTCTGCGACACCTCTCGATCAACCAGATTGCGAAAGACCGAGGCTGTTACGACACCTATGACCAGGAACTGCAGACATGGGTTGTCGATGAAGACAAAGTACGTCTAAAATGCGATCCCCATTTTCTGCATCTTCTTATATGATCTCATGCATATCACCGCTTGCGGTTTCCTTTCGACATACTAAACTTTCTCGATCCCAGCTCCTGGACGCTGTTGAAGAGGAGCTGCTGAAAGGTGGCTATCTGGTTGACTGGCATGCGTGTGATCTCTTTCCTAAATCCTGGATTGATCTCGTGGTGGTCTTGCGTTGCCCATCCACCTCAATTCTATACGACCGTCTAATATCGAGGTACTTATAACCCTTGAACTCTTCATTGTGTTGTTATATCACAAAGCCTGATTGACGTCTGACTATGATTCACCTTGTCACAGAGGCTACAAGCAAGCTAAGCTACAAGAAAATTTGGACGCGGAGATATTCGGTGTTCTTCTTGAGGAAGCCCGCGAATCGTTTGATGAAGAGGTGGTGGTTGAGTTAAATAGTGAAAAGGATGAAGATGTAGAATCTAATTGCGCTCGAATTTCCGGCTGGATAGCGTCCTGGAAAAGTAACCAGGCACTAGAAGCAGACTGACCACTTCTGGCATGTTACTCTCAAAATCGATCGGCTCTCCAGGCCTCGTCAGAGATGGAAAGAATCGGATCAGGATTGTCCATGAGTTATCCAGTCTTGTACTTTAGCCAGGGCTTTGTATCTGTGGGAGATTTGATTCTGATCAAGGATTAGCTATTAGCTACCCAACAGATGACGAAAAGGACGATTTCGCAACGTACCTTTTCATTCTTGTCCATTTCGGCATAAGTTTTGCCTTGGTATTCGAAGATCGGATCCCAACCTGAAATAAGTGTAAGTTATTCAGAACCGGACAAACTAATGAATGCAAGTCTCGGCGCCTACCAAAGTTTGTAGGACCTCTTGGTCGAACAATAGCTCCCTTTGAGAGCTGGTGTTAGCTTCAAGCATTAATGGCATACATCAGTCAACATTACCTCGGTTCTACCTTGAAATAAGATAGGCTCCGAACCAGGGCCTTCACAAAATGCGAATGTACACACGGCCTCCGCTCTGTTTGTGTCGAATGAGTCAAGCATTTTGTTCAGTCCTTCATGCCCCAACGCTTCAAGGAATGATTTGCTTGAGCGTACATGTCAGCATGCCACGTTGGTGCATCATTAAGCAGAGGAAACCTACATATATGGGCCAGGCAACCCTTTCAGCGCATGGAATTCCAGAGCTGTGTCCTCCGTCAACACTGGTCCTCCAACCTAGTCGGTAACGTCAGCAGGGAAAATCTTAATGGTGTATCAAATCTCAGAATTATCACAAGATTGTTCCTTACCACTTCTGCAGCACGTCTACATTTCTCCGTGGCGATTTCTTTGATCGTGCCTTGTATTTCGGGTACCTCGATCGCCTGGTTATCGACCTTGATTACACTACCCAGAATAGCCCTCACTTCGGCCAGCTTGTTCTTGTTACCCGTAATGAAGTTCAGCTGCTTGGTAGGCGCCATGGCTGAGGTTCTCCCAGCGAAAGATATATGACCAATGGGGTTTGGTTAACTGTGAGATTAAACAGACGGACATTGACGAAAGATAAGAGTCATGGTGTCAAAAGATTAATTGGTCCCGGCGGTACGAATTCTTCTTCCCCGCTACCCCACAAGCACTACTACACAATTGCAACACTGCAAACCAAAAGCCTTGAGGCCTGAGCGTCCTCCTCAATGGGGTAGTATAAGGTTGCTGTTCGAGCGGGTTTGTAGGACTAATAATTATTCGTCCGCTCGAGAACAGCATTGTCGATGCAGGAGAGCCTGCAGGAAGGATTTAAGGGCGTGTAATGTGGATAGAGGGAAGAAAAAAAAGGGCAGGAAAAGCACGTGATGGGCCCGTCCTAGTGAATACCGATTGAACGACGACGGTTGCGCGTCCGCTGCATAGAGAGCGCTGCAAATTCATGACTCTTTCAGGGTTTGATCAAGCTACTTCCAATATACAAATTACTTAGATGCGATCGCTGCCTCGCCTGTTTCCGCCATGTCCAACCTTTCCTGTTGGGCCATCGCCTGAGCTGATACTATCTCGGCAAGCCGCTTGAGCCGCGGTGTTTGTAGCCCTGCAAAGTCTGTCAGTAATGCTCAAGATGTCCAAGATACTTTTCTTACAAGAAGGTGTGTATGTTTCCAGTGCTGTGATGACACGTGGCTCTGCAATTTCATACGGGCCACTGTCTTCCATGTCAACGGGAGTAAGAAGAAGCACATCGCTCTTCTCGGTGACACGAGACGCAACAGCTTTCATGATTTCGCCATTGATGGGTTGTTCGTAATCGGCAACAAGATACTGGTTCAACAGTTTCTGGATTTGATTCGGAGACAGCCTTGATGTATAATGGTCAACCTTGTCTACTCAGCGTGGTGAGGCAATTATCGGAAACTTACATCCAGCAAATGTCTTGTATGATTTCAATGTCGTTGAGGGTAGCCTTTTTTAACTGCAGGAGCTTGGTCGCTTGCTTCGACGAGGTCAGCGTATTGTCGTAACATTTGTCAGCCATAGCTACTTACCATCAGATGCTCTAATTGTAGAGTACCTTCGGGCATATCGTGGCTTTTGCACCATTCTTCAATGCGGGTAATGTTGTAGTTGATCTGTAAGCCACGTTTCCAAGACAGAAAGTTTCTGCGCATCAGAAGATCATTGAAAGCTGTAACGCCTACAAGTCGGAGTAGTTCGGTCACTGTCTGAGTAATGATAGACTCCTCAAGGTAGAAAGCCTTCATCGCTTTGTAAACATTGTTCAAGAGACTGAGGAGGTTGTCCATGCTATAAGCAGGATTGTTGTTTGATGGGAGAAGCTTTCCAAGAAATCTGTTTGTCTCGCTTGTAACGAAGCCGGGAAGTGATTGAGACTCGATGATCGCTGGTACAATCATTTTGAAGAGCTTCTTTTTTAGCACTTTCATCCAGGTATGATAAATATTGAATTCTAGGCTCTCCAGGTCGTGTTTCACAATTTCAAGCAGTCGGTCATACTCGAAATTATCGGTCTTTTGGGCTTCATACCAGTCTTCGGCCAAGAAAACAAACGAGAGCATTTCGTGTACATTGGAGAGCCAAAACGCCCCAGGGTTAACAGCATCATCGCCATCATGCTGCATAACCTCTTGTTGAATCGACTGCATAACATTGGCCAAAAAGCGCTCCGATTCTTTTACGAACCCGTTGTTCCACATTTCTGAGGTTACAAGGTTGATAAGGTAAGCCGGAAAAAGAACCTCCTTCTCTGTAGGTGGCGGTGTAGAGCTGGGTAGTGGGATCTTCAGATTGCGAATCAAGCCCATCGTCACCTCCTCATTGAGCTCGTCTTCCTCTGATAGGAGATTCTCGAGCTCTACCTCAACAGAGTCCAGTCCTGGGGAGAAGGCATTGCCGGTGAATGGCTGCCGTCCCATCGCAGAGCTCGGGATAGCCATCGAGACTGGCCTTGGGTTGTAAGCTCCACTGAAACGGTCGGTCTCAATTCGTTCAGCACCGGCGCTGCGTCTCTTAGGCTTGGGCTTCTTCGAGGATACCAGATTGATCAAGCCAGTTGCGGGCGGTTGAGTAGGCCCGCCATTTGACTGATCACCACTCAAGCCATTGATGGGGACGGATCGCTTGGCGAATTCCAGCTGTTCCTCGAGTTCGACGATCTGTTGACGAAGCGAAGCTTTCTCATTCTCAGCTTCACTGTTCAGCTGCTGGAGTCGCTCCAGCTCTAGATTCGCAGAGCGAATTGATTCCCTTGATATTCTTTCCTCCTCCTGAAGTCGCTTGACTGTCGCCTGGGCATCATTATGGCTCTGCTGTAACCTGCTCATTTCATCTTCCAGAGCGGTTAGACGAGCAGCAGTGATCCCAGCTTGGTTGGCTTCAGCCTGTAGCTCTCTCGACCGATTCTCGAGGACATTGTGACGGCTTCTCCAAGACTTCAGCTGAGTCTCGTAGTTCTCCAGTTGTGAGTTCAGCGCTTTGTTCTCACGCTTCAATGACTCAAGATACTGCGTCAATTCTACCACCTTGTTCTCAAGTTTGTAAGAGATTTGCTTCAGATCTCTTGCATCCTCTCGAAGCTTCTTGTATTGTTTCCTAGCCTGTTTGCCTCTCCAAAGGTTCTGAACAATGACAACATTCCGACGATACTGCCTCCACGCGCGTAACTGCCGCCAAGAACGGAAAGATCGTTGTATTACTTTCGCTGCATTGCCATGTATGGTGTCGAGAATATTTTGGCGGCAAAGAAATCCTTTCGCAACTGACTGGAAAAGGATGAAATTGGCGCGTATTTTGTTATATTTACTCCGTTCCTTGTACCCTCTCCAAACCCGCTGAATGGATGTAGCTGCCTTGACTTTGCGAATCTCAGCTGCAAACTGCCTCGCGAGAAAGCCCCTAGCCAAAGCCTGGGTTGTAAGGATCGAGGCGCGAGCATCAAGATACCTGCGCCGATAATATTTGCACCGCAAATTCTTTTGAATCATGATCGCACATTCGTTGAGCCTGGATGTGCGAAGATTTTCGAGGAAAGCAAGCATACCAGCCCGAAAAAAGATTTTTGTCAACCCTAATTGGTATTTGTCTTGTTTTTGCTGAGTACCATCTCCAAGGGCCTTTTGTAAAATGGCATGACACATATCTCTAATCTCCGACGTCCATTGCGAAGAATGACAGAGCATGTAGTATCTGATAGCGAATTCCTCGTAAGTCCAGCGTGTTGGATACCCGGCTGTACTGATGCGGACAGTTTCGAGGACACCACAAGCTCTCAGTTGACTAAGAACCATTGGTCCTTCAAACTTCCAGGGTTCCTTGGCTTCATTCGGCTTGATACAGCGGATGTAGTGAACATCAGTCGAGTTGATCGTATTCATCAGTTCGATCAAAGACGACTTGAAAATCCCACCAAGGGTTGGCTTGCGATTGACAGCTACTCCAATCTTGCGTCCAGGAGCAGCGACGGGCTTGGAAGAGATAGTAGCTGAATCCTTCTCGCGGACAGCAGCGGCGGTATCCAGAATCTCCTTCACAAAATCGTTAGAAGAGCTGCGCAGAATCTCCATGTGCTCATCGGGTACAGTATCCCGATTCTTCTCTATGAATCCGTCAGACTCATATGTTACATCGACAGCATAATGGCAGATCGTAAACGCGGATTTGCCGAAACGCGGTTTTTTATAGAATTTCTGTTTGTCCGCGGCAAAATTATGATGAAGCTTGGTCACAAATTGTTCATCTGAGCCCATCGGTAGTCGAGACTCTTCATCCAAAAGGGACAGGATACCCAGTTTCGCTTCGATTAAGTCGATACACGGCTGGTTATCTGAGAAGTCAATGAATGTCCAATCTATCTGTTCCCGGATGTATTCTTCTTGCTCAAGTTTGAAGACGTGCTGGTTGAATTCCTGCTGCAATTTTTCATTGGCATAATTGATGCAAAATTGCTCGAAGGAGTTCTTCGCAAAATGTTCAAATCCGTAGATATCCAAGACACCAATGAAAGATCTGAAATTATTCAGGATCTTATCAGTAGCCAGGCCGCGATTGATCTTGTCAACAAGCCAGTCGAAGAGGCTCGAATAGATGAATTTGGCAACAGAATCTCTAACAACGATGGCTTGTTGTTGCGTGAGATTAGAGGTGATCTTTTCACCCCTGGTAATTAGCTGCTTTTTGACTATCCATTTCGCAAATTCGTTCGCATCGATCCCGAGCATTTCGCACGCTCGCATGAGAGAAGGCTCCGAAGGCGACAGATTGGAGTCGGTTCTTGTAGAGGTTATCTTGACATTTCCAAGATGAAGCAAGGCGGCGAGCACCCGGAAAATTTCCACTTGTGTCTTTTCCGGCACGCCAATGGTACTCAAGGATTTTTTTGTCGCGGTAAACTCTGTTCGATCGTCAACACCGTCGATTGTCGGTGTTCCGCCCTGACTAAGGTAGTCGAAATCTTCGACTGAAGTCAGGCCAAGCTCCTGCTTCTCTGCATTTGTTGCGCCGGCTACCAATTGGTAAAATATATGATAATTCCGCTCTTTGAGGGGCTGAAACACGAGACGGGATCTTTCCAGAAGATATGTCCTAATTTTCGCACCTATGATATTGGTTTTGTCATCGAACATGATCTCAATGTACTTTCCGAAGCGCGAAGAGTTATCATTGCGTGTCGTCTTGGCATTGCCAAAAGCCTCCATGACAGGATTTGTGGCTAGGATTTGCTCTTCGGTCTCACTGATTGCATCTGCCCGACTCGTGGTGTATTTCCCAGGCTGATCGGAAGACTCGCGCGTGGCGAAATATCGCATAATATACTTTGCGCTGACAGTTTTACCAGCACCCGACTCGCCAGAGACGACGATGGTCTGGTTCTTACCATCCCGTAGCATATCGCTGCGTAAGACTATGTGAGCCGAGGAGACAGATTCAATGAAGGACTAATTCTTACGCAAATGCTTCTTCGGCAATAGCGAACAGATGAGGTGCTTGAGATGCTCGATGTTTTCCAGCATACACTTGTACCATTTGCGGGACATAGAGAGAATCGACCCGGGCGAAGGGATTTGTAGCAATAAGGACGATGCCACTATAGGTATATATCTCCTTCTGTGCATAACGTAGTTTTATAGCCTGAAGGACTGCATGGGATTTAGCTTCTATTGCTTTGCGACCGCGATAAGATGCATACCAGCAGGCTCGTTCAAATGCGACAAATTCGTGAGATCTTCACTGGCCTCCAGCATGGCAGGGTTCATCAGCGGAGGCAAGTTCGGGTTGTTGTCAATTTGCAATTCAGCCTGACTGGTTTCGAAAGTTTTCGTCTATGCCCACGAAAAGTCAGCCTACTGCTTCAAATACTCCCACATCAAGAGCGAACGAGGCTGTGTGTACGCACCTCTCCATTTTCTATAGAAAAGATGAGTTGCACTTTGTCCCCATCAACCAGTTTCTCCTTCACCTCAGACGCAATCCAGCCCTCAGTCGGATCCGGCTGCCAGGCCCGCGTTCCGACCTCGTAGTTGTGAGCCATTTGGCCACTTTATCGACACTCAAGATGTTTAACCTAAACAAGGTCGGGCCAGAAAACCAGTAAGACGTTCGACGATCTTGTATGAATGGCCGCATGCATCTAGCGGAAGACAAGAAAGGGACACAGTTGGGATCAATCCAGACGTCAGACAATCATAGTCTTGACGGGTTGTAGGTTATGAAGGGTTCGATCGAGAAAGAAGATGCTCTTCATGCTTCCCTTTAGGGAGAAATAATTGAACTGGCTAACAGCTGGCGTTACCGAGCCCGGAGCCGCGAGCCGCGAGCCGCAGCCCCTGAGGCGGGCCTGGATGGCCGCGCCACTTGTCGAGCCGATACTCCACAGTTGTCAAAACCAACGCCAAGGTTCACTCATCATTTATGAAAAGCTCATCGATGCACACGTACTTACTCTTTCCATCTTTAGCAACGTAGGCAAAGAGAGACCGTCCCTGATACCGTATACTAGAAAGTCAGGGTAGATTCTATCTATCGTATATAAACCCATGAACGGGGTTTCCACTTGGTTTGAACATGGCCACAATGTCTTACGTACAGGTTTTCGACTACCGTTGTAATTGGCGGTGTGATTAGCCAGCCCGCCCGCCATGTTGACAGTCGCCTCGAACTGAATATACTATCAAGCAGTATTTCAATGAACAGAGCTTGGGAAGATGTATTTTTCTGCGTACATATTCTCCCAGATGCTACTTACTACCCTATGGTGATTGCGAATACAGGATGACCAAAGGGCCCGGTTTAAACTGTATACACCTGATTGCCCGAGCCGAGTGATCTAACAAAGGCCACAAACACCGTCTTTATTCAAAGGGCGAAAATTGTCAGAGACTTGCCCATCAGGAGGTACAAGTCTCCGTACATCCGTGAACTTTCGACTTGTGAGTACGCTTGTATCCGAATACTTTGCTGGTGCATAGACATGGAAAAGAGATTAGGAGTAAGAAACAACTAATAGGAGAAACAATCTGAGGCAATATTAAAAATTGAAAGGGAAGCACAGAGGCGGAACAGAAAACAGCTGTCACGATCAAGCGCGTGAAAGACCTGTCATGGCTGAGATGTATTTTTCAAGGCTGCGTCAAATCAAGCCACCCTGCTCAGCTTTGTTTGCATTCGGCTGCCTCTTTCTTCGGCTTAGAAGTACCGTCCTGTCCAAATGATGTCAGCATGAAAATATGTCAAGCGAGACTCATGGTTTTAGCAATGGAGAATCATACGTCTTCCTCTGAATCCTCGTCGACATCACGGTCAGTTCCCCGGTCATCATCATCATCATCGTCCTCCTCTTCATCGTCTTCATCATCCTCTAGATCGAACTCATCCTCATCCATGTCGTCACCTAGTTCCTCGAACTGGAGAGCCTCTCCAGTGAACCAATCGATTGCTCTAGGAATGAGCTTTTCCTTGATGTCTTCGCCGAGCTGATAGTCAAGTTCGAGGCGCTCCTCGATGTCGGTAGCGACAGTGTCGTCATCGTCAGTCGGGGGCTGCGGGGGTGAGAAGAAGTTGAAGAAAGACTCCGTGGGAACGGTAATCTTGACAACACGGGTCTGTTTGGTGTCTTTGGAAAGATCAGTAACAGTTCTGCATTTCAGCATAGCGTAGCGTACTCTTATTCCTCTGCTTCTTACTCTCGACCCGGACGGTAAGATCCTTATCTGCCTTCCAGTCGATCTTGGTGCCCTCCGCATGGTCGTAAATAAAGTCACCGCCGTATCCATTCTCTTCCTTGTAGTAGTAGGTTTTGGAGACGGATTTGTTCGTAAAAAAAGGATTCTCAGAGAATTCAAAAATTAGTCGAAATCCGGGGCGGTCGAGATATTCCATCCGAATATCAGTGAGATACTTCAGGGCCTCTTCATCGCGTTCAGTGATCATGTCGGCAAGGGAAATTTGATTTTTCATAGCTGATAGCCAGAACTCAGGGATTCCAGCTGTTGTTGACTCATCAGCCTCATCTTTGCTAGCTTCGCCTTCCACGTCGGCATCTTCTTCTTCGTCGCGGCCATTTGTGACTTCCGAGTCAGTGGGTTCCGTGGTTCCGTTGACAATTGTGGCACGCCTCTGATAGAGGGGGGTAAATTTGGCGAAATACTTCTTCTCAAGCTCCAAAACTTCCTCTTGAAACTGAGCTTCCAGTTTAGCATGCTCCTTTTGGATGCCCTTGAGCCCAGCAACTCGCCGGCGGACCGACACGGGCAGGGACTCAATATAGCCTGAAGAGCGGCCGACAAGAGAACCTAACTTCCCTTGAATCATGGAAACTAAACCAGGGTTACGTGCGAAAAGGGAAGCCGCCGTAGCATGGTCAAGGGACTCTATGGGAGTTTATGAGCGTTTGGTCTTAAGACAGATGAAGGCGCTGATTGGGGTGTTACCTTCTTTGATGCTAGCAATACCAGGTTGCTGGGCATGAGAGGAGATGGGAGCATTGTTAGCTGGCGTGTTCTGCGGTGTCCTATGGTGTCACGTATCATCAGAAATCGAATCATGGCATGCGGCAAATTTCGGGATTCGGTTGAGCGGCCCATGATACTTACGGCGCGATCGGAATATCTGCCTTCTTATTCCTGATGGGTTCAGACATCGTGATCTGACGGGCGGAGGATATTTTGAGAGGAGACAAAGCTGAGTTGGCTGAGAGGTTGTGTAAAGGCAAGTGTGGAGGAAGATTTTGATACACCCAAGTTTTGCGAGGTCTGGAATACTGGCTTGGTGGGATTCTTAGCGCCCTTGGGCCGAGGGGCTTGGCGGGACGGAAATGCTGGCTGTTGAGGACTTTTCATATCTCCCAACAAGTGACAATACTACCTGCCGCCTCCAGCATCATCGGGACCCTGCTTTTATTTGATCACAAACATGCTCATACTATATCGCTAGTTATAGGAGACATCAATAGCAGTAATCATTCTACATCTTTCAACCACATCCCCAATAGCGGTACTCGTAACAAGCCGTACTCCGAGCTTTGATACATCTTGACTTTCATAGATACACGATAAACCGTACTGAGAAGTAAGGAATGCGAGGTCTCAGACTGACGGCTCCCATTCAACTTCGGACATGTTTTTTTACTTGTTTCTAAGACTTTTGCTAAGCGCCGAGAGCTTTCTCAAAGATACATACTACATACACATCAATAGTTTGCTTGTTGGTATGTAGTCAATATGTGCAAATGGTGTCAAACCTCTACTTTGGAGCCCATGGAATGCCTACGGATATTATTGGAGAAATTACAGCAGAGGGGCGGAGGGGTCTTGCACAGCCTGGAGCTACCTAGAGTAGCCTTATTTCACTTATACCGTACTGTACCGTACTGTACTGCCGAGGAACGCAGCCCGCTGCTGCACACAGATTTATGTACTGTCCCATTACACGGGTGACTTATCTATCAACGACGGAACACTCCGTTGAATGTACGCTGGCCTATGACTTAATCAAACACACGCCTAATAACTTAAGCAATTTTATCCGTCGATTATAACACGCCAGTATATGTCACCGAATCACCAATTTATATGAATTAGAATGGCATAAAACTCCCGCCCGTCAATATTAACAAAAGTGCCGCAAATATTATATATCAGACAACCCACTGGACACTGAGAAGCGAACCGGCAGGGCGCCATTATCGACATGGAGGACCGTCAAGTGCAGGCCCCGTACTCCGAGGTCTATTCGCCTGGAGCTGAAAATCGGCGCAACTCCATGAGAAGCAGGTCTTCTACACCAAAGCCAATTCTTTCCTGTCCCTTACTGATGGTCTTGCAGCTATAGCATTATGTCCGAGGTCGGAATGGCTCGCAATGAGGTATGTCATGGGGAGATTTGTTTCGCTCCTGCGACTGACCTAGGCAGGTTTATGACGGTCCGATGTCAGAGAGTGTTCCATCAAGCATCGTCTCCTTTTCCCATCGTCGAGATCGAAAGGATTCCAATACTAGCTTCACATATTTCCAAGACAATGAGGAGCACGCAATGTGGCCGCATGAGGATGCATTGGACGTTGACAGTGATAGAGACGAAATCTCAGTGGATGGCTTCAATACTACAGACGGGTCAATACGGTCGTCTAAGCCCCGACCTTACTCAAGAGGCTCTGTTGAAGACCCCTTACTACAGCGATCATTGTCTGTTGGTTCGTATGCGCAGAATTGGAGAGGCGAGAATAGAACAAGTCAGAAAGTCCACATCATGTCAGAAGACTTGACAATTGTGATCGCGGGGTTCTCAACAAGCATCACTGGTCTGGTAATGTATTACATGCTGTGTGCATTGTCATTTGGATTCGCCTATCTACTCTTTCGGTGGTTCCCAAAATGGCGCGTGCGTCTGTTGGGTAAATCTGTCCCTCTCGACGATTGCAGATGGGTTGCGATTGAGGTAGGTAAACCTAACTCCGGGATCCATCCACTCTTACTCAATCAGAGCTAGGATCAATGGAATCGATTCCAAATACAATCAGTCGACTGTCAAGATTATGGGCGCCCTCTTTCTACAATCTGGGCAGATCCTGACTGCCGCCTGTATGATGAAGACAATGACCCCACTATTGCTCAATTGAGATGCATCGATTACAGATATCTACGCTTCTTCTACCATCCTGTCGAGGATCGATTCTGTCTGGTAAATGGCTGGAAAGATCCCTCATGGACAAATGTGAAAGGAATGAGGCTCGGGTTGGACGCCGATGATCGTGACAATCGAGAACTAATATTTGGAAAAAACCTTATTGACATTCAGCAGAAGCCTGTCTTTCAGCTTCTTATGGATGAGGTAAGCGTTGCATACCTAGCTAGATGTTTTCGGTTCAAAATCTAACACTTTAGGCCTTTCACCCATTCTACATCTTCCAGCTAGCAAGCCTTGTACTGTGGTCGCTCGATGAATACTATTATTACGCCGTTTGCATATTTCTCATTTCAGTCATCAGTATTGGGGCAACTGTCATTGAAACCAGAACGGTGCGTTTTTGCGGAACTGTCGCCAATACCGTGAGTGCTTATTTCTCTGCAGACAATGAGCCGCTTAAGAGAGCTCTCGCTATTTGAATGCGATACCCGTGTTCTTCGAAATGGATTTTGTAAGTAGACTTTATTATAAGTTTTCCTATATGGCTCGATCATCCAACCATACCCTAATGCTTCTGGCTTACAGGGAGATCTATTCCATCCAGGGAGCTTGTCCCAGGAGATGTCTATGAGTTTTCGGATCCTTCTCTCACACAAGTCCCTTGTGACTGTATATTATTATCCGGGGACTGTATAGTGAACGAGAGTATGCTGACAGGTCTGCTTGGCATATCTGTTTCCTTGGTGAAATAGACTAATTCGTAACAGGCGAATCTGTCCCTGTCACTAAGGTTCCTTTGACAGACGATGCGTTGAGGTATCTTGATCTAAATGTACCTTCCATTGATCCTAACCTTGCGAAGCACTTTCTTTTCAGCGGTACAAAGATAATAAGGGCGCGACGCCCGCAGAATGTCGATGATGATGAAGCTATAGCATTAGCGGTTGTTGTGAGGACGGGATTTCTCACAACTAAAGGTGCCCTGATCCGGACAATGCTCTTTCCCAAACCCTCTGGTTTCAAGTTCTACCGAGATTCATTCCGCTATATCTCAGTCATGGGCCTTGTTGCCATTCTAGGGTTCATTGCCTCGTTTGTGAACTTCGTCCGCTTGGGGGTAAGAGTGTGGATTGCACCATTGACTAAGTTCTTGCTAATGCAGACAAGCTTCCTTGGCAGTTCATCATCGTCCGAGCACTTGACTTGATCACGATTGTTGTGCCTCCAGCGCTACCTGCTACGTTGAGTATAGGAACCAACTTTGCTCTTTCACGACTCAAGAATCATAAGATATTCTGCATCAGTCCGCAAAGGTGGGATCTACTACTACTTTGTACTGAATGGAATACGCTAAACTTCGTTCTAGGGTCAATGTTGGCGGGAAGCTAGATATAATCTGTTTCGATAAAACTGGGACACTGACCGAGGATGGACTAGACGTGCTTGGCATTCGAATTGTGGACAATAATGCAAGGTTTGTACAGATACACTTTCAGTTTTCATCTATATCCGTTGATCAAGTTGCAGCTTCTCTGGTCTAATTTCCACTATCAATTTCGACACCCATATTCAAGCACACAGTCCTGCCCTACATGATACCAGCAGTTATGCTAATATTCTCCACACCATGGCAACGTGTCATTCTTTGAGGGTGGTCGATGGTGAATTACTGGGAGATCCTCTGGATGTTAAGATGTTTCAATTCACGGGATGGTCTTTTGATGAAGGGGGAAGTCACATTGAACAGCCGGACTCGGAAACAATCATGCCGTCTATCGCAAAGCCACCCGAGAGAACTGGCACGATTGCCGGCTACCAGCAAGATGATGAGCCACATGTATGGGGACATTCTAGCATATCAGGGAACTGGCACCTGGTGCAAAAGCTGACATCGCACAGGCACCTGTGGAGCTCGGTATTTTGCGCAACTTTGAATTCATCTCGGAGTTGCGTCGCGCGAGTGTGGTTGTACGCCAATTTGGTGATCCGGGGGCTAGGACTTTTGTCAAAGGCGCCCCGGAAAGTGTGAAGGCAATCTGTCTCCCGGAAAGCTGTGGGCACATCTACCTATTGTTAGGCTCACAATACTGATAGCAACTTCACAGTGCCCCGCGACTTTGACGAGCTTCTGGGCTATTACACACATAAAGGCTATCGCGTCATTGCTTGTGCTGCCAAGTATCAGCCGAAGTTAAGCTGGATGAAGATTCAGAAAATGACTCGTCATGACGCTGAGTGCAATCTGGAGTTTCTCGGGTTCATCGTTTTTGAAAACAAGCTGAAACCAAAGACTACTAGGACTATCGCTGAACTCAATCAAGCAGGCATACGCAATGTCATGTGTACAGGTGACAACATACTAACGGCAGTTAGTGTTGCTCGTGAGTGTGGGTTGGTCAGTAGCAACGAACACTGTTTCGTTCCTCATTTCCTACAAGGTAGACACTTCTGCTATATTGTGCATGGTTGAACTTGCTCCCGCTAATTTGATCATAGGATATGCGCATGATTCCAATGCTTCGCTTTGTTGGGAAAGCGTCGATGATCCTGCAATCAGGCTTGACCCAACTACACTCATGGTATGCATCGATGTTCGGAATGATGGCCTTCGCTGATAAAAATTAGCCCCAGGCAAGTGTTACAGGTATTGACTTATCCGTACCGGGCAATATCTCCAACCTTAATAACTACTCCCTTGCTGTGAGTGGTGAAGTCTTTCGATGGGCCGTCGACTTTGGCAGCGAAACAATCCTCGATAGAGTAGGTGTATGACCGGCGACTAGTTTCGTCAGCTGCCTGTCTTATGGTCCATATTTAACCAATACACGTATAGATGCTTGTGCGTGGCAGTGTATTCGCAAGAATGTCGCCGGATGAGAAGCATGAACTGGTTGAGAAGCTCCAGTCCCTCGACTACTGTTGTGGCTTCTGTGGCGACGGTGCTAATGACTGCGGTGCACTGAAAGCTGCCGACGTCGGTATCTCATTGTCAGATGCTGAAGCCTCTGTCGCTGCTCCGTTCACGAGTCGTCAATTTGATATTTCTTGTGTCCCTACGCTGATTAGGTATAGAATATTCTGCCTGCAATTAAGGAAACTTACAACTAACTCGCTCGTAGGGAAGGTCGAGCTGCCTTGGTTACAAGCTTCTGTTGCTTCAAGTACATGAGCCTCTACTCGGCCATACAGTTCGCAACTGTTAGTTTGTTGTATGCGTCCGCGTCGAATCTGGGCGATTTCCAGGTACGCTTTACAGCACGATAGCAAGCGTGGCAACGTCGCACTGACTGAATCAAGTTTCTTTTCATTGATCTATTTCTAATCTTACCAATTGCGATTTTCAGTAAGTGCATCTCGAATCAGTGAATGACAAATACTCCTGTCCCTCTGCAGGTCGCATGCAATATTAAGAAGCATGCTTACGCATAGTGCTAGTGGGATGGACCGGCCCTCATCCAATACTTTCTCGAAAACGACCTACAGCAGATCTCGTCTCGCGCAAAGTGTTGATTCCATTGCTTGGCCAAATTACATTGTGCATAATCACGCAGCTTGTGGCATACAAACATGTTCAACTGCAACCTTGGTATGTTCGAATGTTGTTGCGATGGAGAACGACTTATATAGAGACTTGCTGACCGATTTTCTATAGGTTCAAACCTCCCAATGCAGGCTTGGAGAACAACATTGGGAACTCTGCAAATACCGTACTTTTTCTGATTTCTAGCTTCCAATACATACTGTCAAGTGTCGTGCTCAGCGCCGGACCGCCGTTTCGCAAACCAATGATCTCGAACAGTGAGCTCCACTAATCATTGCTAAAATTGAACGAGAATAAAAGCTAACGACCCCCAGAACCGTTCCTGTTCATGGTGCTCTTGAATCTACTATTCTCATGCTATATGCTTTTCAGACCCAGTCGGTGGCTCAGACGAGTCATGCAGTTGACGTCTATCCCAAACTACTTTGCGTGGCAGTTGCTATTGATTGTTTCTGGAAGCTTTTTCATTTCTTGGATGGCTGAAAGAAGATTTCTTCCTACTTTTGCTCGTCAGGTGGGGAAATTACTTGAAAGATTGCGACAGGACAAGTCGAAGAAACGTCGGCGTTACAAAATGCTACTCGACGAAATGAGAAACTGAATTTGACCCCCTGAGCAGTGTTCACTGTTAGGATGGTAAAGGTTTCCGCGTTCTTACGGGAGCTCTTCGAGTTCACGGTTGAGATATCTAAGCCTGGTTGGTGATTGATATCCGTTTCTTTCTTCTTTGTTTCCGTTTATTGATCCCCGAAAGACATAGCCGTTCGGTTATATGAGTGGTTGGGCTCTAGCAAATAACTTGAACACACTGGGACAATGCGCACTCAATGATCCCAAGGGTGCTTCCATCCTAACAGGGCAGGACCATCTTTCTTGGCTCGATACATTAGCTGTAATGGTGCAGAACAGATGTCATTAGTAAAGATTGGAAAATAAAAAGCTCGGGGTTCACTTACGAAGAACCACATGCTAGCCCCCAAGGCTGTGGCAGTAAAGCGATACAGAGGTCGTGCGGGATGAATGTGAATGGGATGATTTGATGCCATGTCTTCTAAATTGAATATATTAGCTCGCGAGACCAGTATTCTTGAAAGCACACAGTATATTGGCATACCTTCCTGGGTTTTCAAATTGTAGCGACTAGCAGTTTCCTCAGTGTCCTGGAATGTGAACGATGGAGTAAGTTCCGGAGATGTCTGGCTTGGTGACGGTCACGGGAACCTCTATATAGTCATGTGACTCGGTCAGAATCACTCCGGCAATGGCCACTCTTGGTGGACTCTTCTTGAGCCTTCACAATGCTCAGTCTTAATGTTGCAGCAGTCAAATCAATGTGAACTATGCTATGCTGACCGGAATTTCTCCACTTCACATTGTTTTATTGAGAAACATTTGAGTGCATCCATCATAGCCGGCTCGAACACCGAACTCTGTGCTTCAACATCACATCACACATTTCCGTATCTGAATTGTTTATTTTGCTCTCTGTGAGGCTTTCTTGTTTCTAATCGCCGCTTGAGGGATAGTTTCCTCGCCCCCTTAGTGGTACAGTTTAACGAATGCCCTCAAAGAGGAGACACGTCAATCCGTTCGCGTCTCAGATGCCCATTTCCTGCTGTTGACGGGGCAGCGATTATTGACAATGGTCATAACATCTCTTGAGAGAGATGAGTATGGGTGTCCCAGGTTTCGTGGATGTACTAATATTCGGGAATTCGAGTTTCTTGGTAAACTCGGTGAAGGTACATTTGGGTACGTACTAATAGCCAATCGTCGCATTTCTTTCACATACTAAGACAGAGATAGGGAGGTATACAAAGCCAGGTCGAAGAAGGATAATACTATCGTCGCGCTGAAAAAGATTCTTATGCATAATGAGAGGGATGGGGTAAGAAAACGACGGTCTCGGACAAAACTGATCAGGCTCACTCACCCTCTCCAAGTTCCCCATAACCGCTCTCCGTGAGATTAAGCTCCTCAAAATGTTGTCTCACACTAATATACTCCACCTCAGAGAAATGGCTGTGGAGCGAAGCAAAGGTAGGCTAAGGATGGGCCCTATGAAGATCGCCACTCGCTGATTATAAGCCAGGGGAAGGACGAAAGAAGCCAAGCATGTATATGGTGACACCATACATGGAACATGATCTTTCGGGGCTATTAGAGAATCCAACGGTTCAATTCACTGAGGCACAAATCAAGTGTTATATGTTGCAACTCCTCGAGGGGCTCAAATATTTGCACGCGGTATTGTCCACTTATGATTGGGTTACAATTGCTATTTTAACATGCCATAGAACCGCATCCTACACCGCGACATGAAAGGTCGGATTCTATATTCTTAGGGGGAGAATCGACGCCTGGCTAATGGTCACATAGCGGCGAACTTACTCATCAGCAACAAGGGTATCCTGCAAATCGCTGATTTCGGTCTAGCTCGGCCATATGAGGAACCTCCTCCTGAGCCGGGGAAAGGTGGTGGGGAGGCGAGAAGGGATTACACAACTCTCGTTGTGACTCGATGGTATCGTCCTCCGGAGCTTCTTCTTCAACTTCGGCGTTACACTACGGCAATCGATATGTGGGGTGTCGGGTGAGAGCTCCGTATATCTACTGCGACAGTTAGCCATCTTTCTGACTGCTTCAGTTGTGTCTTTGGTGAAATGTTCAAAGGAAAACCAATACTTGCCGGTAACAGTGATCTCAACCAGGCTCAGCTTATCTTCAATCTGGTAGGTTCACCTACCGAGGAGACAATGCCAGGATGGTCTTTACTTCCGGGGTGTGAAGGTGTGAAGAATTTTGGGAACAGATCTGGGAGGTTGTTCGAGGTTTTCAAAGAGTATATTCTTTCTTTTCCTTTCAATCTCGCTTCTAGCCACGTCTTCTGACCATGAGGTAGTCAAGACCCTACTGCCGTCTCCCTGTTGGGTGAACTTTTGAAACTTGATTGGAGGAAAAGAATCAATGCCATCGACGCATTAAAGCATCCCTATTTTTCTAATTTACCACTTCCTGCACGTCCTGGTGAGCTGCCATCGTTTGAAGATTCCCATGAACTTGACAGGAGAAGGTTCCGGGGCCAAAGAGCCCCGATGCCTCCTGCACCCGTTGGAGGTTCCATAGCAACGGCCGCAAATGGGAGCTGGACGACGGCATCTAGTAACAGACACTCTGTTGCTGAGAACAAGATAAATCGCCTTCCTAATGCCGCGCGTTCCACCCGGCCGCATCCTAGTGCGGGCCATGGAGATTCTCAGCCTCGTTCTTTTGACAACCGGCTTGCTGAATCATACCCACGAGCAGGGCTTGGCGAGGAATCACATTCAGGCTCTTGGCGCAGGGGCGGTCTACCCCCCAAACCTCCTGCTCCGGCGCATCAGTGGCCAAATGGTAATGTGAACAGATTCGGGCGTGAAAGGGACTATAACCGTCCAGGAGGGCGATCTGAAGTCCTTGTGGATTCCTACGTTCCTCGCGTTAGTACGAATCCGGTTGAGTATTCCCGCGAAAGGGATGGCAGCGTCAGCATTAGTACCGATGGGCACGATTACCCCGGAAATCACCAACACCCCCGGCAGGAGCATGCACGTGATAATCCATCGAGGAGGAGGAGCCGGAGTCCCTACGCCAGAGATGGTTTTCGTGGAACTGATAGAGCATTCTATCGCAGATAAAATAATATCATGTAACATAACATGCGCATTCGTGAGATAGTGATATGAAAAGCAAAGGAATCAGCAATGGAGGGTGTTAGTTCCTCCCTGTTAGGCTCTCATTGATGAGTCTATCAGGGTCTATCTTGAGTCGTACGCCTCAGCCTATGAAATCAATTTTGTCACGGTAGGAATACGTGTAAAGGCAATATAGCGTATGCATTAAACGAAGAGATATATTATGATTGATATCTACTCGCGTTTTATGTGCATATACATACAAGGCTGTGAGCGGGGGGGACTTGGTCCCCGCCTACGCGGTTGCAGGTGCTGGTTTCGACTCTTTCGAGGTATGTCGCCTTGCCACAGCCTACAGCATAAGGGACTGATGGCGGCCTAGGCAATAGGGCAACAGTGTTGCCGCAGGCTCAGTATTTTGAGGATGGCAGAATTTTAGTGTTCCCGCAGGCGGTGGCGGGTCGCTTGCACATTGGAAAAGGGTGTGATGTCATGTACTCTCCGTACAGGCAGTGGAATACAGAGATTATATTGAAACTGGTGATACTACACTATACAATTCATACCTTATCATTTGCCCCCTAATATGTGATAATAAGCCTGACTAATTCATCGGGTGTGAGATTCGAGATTGTACGGCGGTGTTGAACATATGGCCAAGTATGTGCAAATAATAACTAGTTCAGCGGGCTTATCCGAAAGCAAAGCCCAGTCAGTACACACCAATATAGAAGGAATCGCCTTCAAGTTGTGGGCTCTGAGTGAATGCCTGCTGGTCTGCAGCGCATCTATGATATATATTTACTTTGCTTTCTTTGCTTTTCAATCCCGTTATGTTACCTCTGTTGAGAGACCACTAACATAATAGCCCCTCCATGTCAACCTACCCAGCACGATAAGCAGCCCGATGCTGCTTGCGGACTACTGTCTTCAATATAAGATGCGGGTCATAATCCGTGCTGGACAAGTCCAAATAACCAAGGAGGAAGCTCATAGTCAGCGTCGCAAGTCATGTAGGAAGGAGGGAAGGAAGATTTCCGAACAAGTGGTACATACACCCAAGGCTTTCAAGTCTCTCATAAAGATCCTTGATTGTGGAATTGTCGACGTCGCTGATATCAGCCATCAAGTAGGCCACCTGCACACGGTCAATTGAGGATTCCGACGCTTATTCTCAAGAAGGTGAACTCACGTCGCCTCTGCTATCGGTCATCTGTTTATCAACGTTGTGGTCTCCAAGAATTTCGTTGACTGTCGGAGGTTAATTATCAAAATGTGAGAAGTACAATATAGAATGTCATAATTACCCTTCCGCAAAACACCAGGAACGTTCTGGTGGATGAAAACGACCTGTTTGCCATGAATTAGACGGAGGATCCATTCCAACATACATGAATATATGCATGCATAGAGTATATCTGTACTCACCCGGGCATGGTTTGACTCATCCATGGTCAATGATCGAAGAGCGACTTCAGGGAGGTTGACGGCGCCCAATGTTGTACCTTCATTGACATACCTCACCAACGCTTCCGCAACTTCCACGCCAATTGCACGCTGTGCTTCTTCGGTACTACCTCCAATATGCGGGGTCAGGATCAAATTTTTAAGACTACGAAGGTCTGCTCCCCAAGTATTCAAGTCGCTGTTGAAATAGTCGCCATTGCCAGCCGGCTCGTTAGGATAGACGTCAAGAGCGGCTCCCGCAATTTTGCCAGAACGCATGGCGTGGATAAGTGCTGGAATATCCACGACACTGCCACGGCTAGCATTGATGAGATAGCTACCAGTCTTCATCTGCTCGAACTGCTGCTGTCCTATCATGTTCTTCGTTTCCGGAAGCTCGGGAACATGGCAAGTAACAAAGTCGGCTCGAGAAAGAAGCCCTTCCAGAGTCGGCACTTGCTGGGCTGTACCTAATGCCATTAGGTTCACTACATCATAGAATATGACCGACATTCCCATGGCCTCAGCTAGAACAGAAAGCTGAGCGCCAATGTGGCCGTATCCAATTATCCCTAGCACAAGTCAGCTCAATTCTATCAGCTAATACAAATGGCGCATACCGAGCGTTTTCCCGCGAATTTCCCAGCATTTGTTGCTCACTTTGTTCCAAGTGCCATTGTGCATTTCATTTGAGCGATCGCCAAGTTGACGGGCGAGGACAATGATTTCAGCAATGACCAACTCGGCAACACTTCTGGAGTTGCTAAATGGGGAGTTGAAGACAGCGATACCGTGTTCAGCCGCGTATTGGAGGTCAACTTGGTTGGTTCCAATGCAGAAACAGCCAATGACGATAAGGTTCCGCGCTTCTTTCAAGATGCGAGCGCTGAGTTTCGTCTTGGATCGAATACCGATCACGTGCACATCACTTTGAATTTCACAAGGTCAGATAAACATCATTCAAAGAACACAGGAGATGCCGTGAACAAACCGGATTTTCTCAATAAGTTGGTCTTCCGGAAGTGACGATTTAAGAAATTCAACTTGATAGCCCTGTTTGGTGAGGATGTCCCTGCCTGTCTGATTGACATTCTCCAGGAGTAATACTTTGATGTCCTCGGTGGCGAATGGCTTCAGGTGTTTGGTGTTGGCGAGAGGGATTGTGCGGCTGCCGAAAGCTGAGCCTCCATGGCTGGATGGTGCAGACTGAAACGAGGCCGTAGGGGAGGTGGACAGATTCGGGTTCTGCGAAACGCTGAGGCTCGAAGCTTCCTGAACGGAGTCGAAGTCCCTTGCAGATGCAGCCATTGTTGTTTAACTATTTATATGCGAGGGAGACTGTCGATAGGGATTCTAGGTAGATGAACGAAGTGGTGGCCGGATTATAGAAGGAGGGAAGGAGCTGGCTTTTTTAAGTCCTCCGGAACCGGAGTCTTAAGAGCAATGTTCCACATGTGCAATTGAAAGTTGAGTCATCGCTGCAAGCAAGCACAAGTAGAGGGGCAAGAGCGGGGCCGACCCTTCCCTCCTTGTACGTAGAGAATACAACACAACTAATAATTATCCCAGTTACTTGGTTTGCCGCATAGGAATGAATTAACTACAGTACTGACAAATTTAGGTGAGCAGGCCCTAATGGCCCTGTATGACCAATGGCTCTAATCATTTACAAAGGGCGAATTATCTCTCTACCTATCAGGCAACGCGGGTCAAGATTGGAAACAATACGATCTTTAAAAAGCTAATTCTACCGCCGAGATGAAAATAAGGCATTTATGTCTCAGCTTGACACCTGTGACAGTAAGTTCCGGAAAATGCTTGTCAAAGTATCTGTTAGAATCCTGGTGGCAGGGCGATTCTTCTCGGTTTGAAAGAGGCGTTCGTATTCTGCTGGGGGAAGAGCTGGCACTCAAACCTGGAGGTTCTGCAACTTCCTGGCAGCGTCTTCCGCACCAATCGCGCTCTTTGAAGCCTGCTTGGCCTTCGACTTCTGAGAGGTACTGTCCTTGGGAAGCTCCTTTGTAAAGGGCAAGAACTCCGGCATTCCTGGAATGTATTTTCTAAGCGGCTCTGGCACATTGATACCCTATCCATTGTTAGCTTAAAGACCTTGGAACAAACGCTCAACTTATAACGTACATCTTCGGTCTGGTAGTTCTCGAGGACACAGCAGAGTGTTCTTTCAGTGGCGCATAGAGTGGCATTCAAAGCATGAACATAGGACTTCTTCACGTCTGTCGCTTTCTTTATGCCATAGCGGATCTCCAGTGCCCTTGATTGATAATCGGTGCAGTTCGAGCAGGAAACTAGTTCCTTAAACTCCCCTTGAAAAGGGAACCAGGCTTCCAAGTCATATTTCTTAGCGGCAGCGTTGTTTAACGCCCCGGAGACAATTGCTACCACCTGATATGGTAGTCCCAGGGACCGATAGAATTCTTCCGACGTGGCCATCATCTCTTCAAAAGCTTGCCACGAATCTTCCGGTTTTGTGAGAACGAACTGTTCGATCTGCGCGAGCTTTAGTGCCGGTCAAATTTGGGTGCCACTAACGGCCTAACCTTTTCGAACTGATGGACTCGGAAAATGCCCCACGCATCCTTTCCATGGGCACCTGCCTCCTTGCGGTAGCACGTGCTATATCCAGCATATCTGACCCAAATTAGCACGATTCAACACGGACATGTCAACACGGTGCTCACTTGATCGGGAGATCTTTATCTTGAAGCCATTCCCCATCGTGCAGTGCCGAAAGAGGCTGCTCTGACGTAGCAATAAGATACTTATCAGTGGCCTTGTCCTCGCTCTCGGTGACCTTGTAAAGCTCCTCGTCGAACTGTTCCAGCTGCGCGGTCTTCGCCATCATATCTTTGAGCATGAATTGAGGAGGCTGATTGGGTGTATAGCCCTTTCCCCAAAGGAATTCCAGTCCATAGTTAATGAGCGCAAGGTTCAAGAAGAGACCATATCCCGTCAAGCAATATCCACGGTGGCCGACAATCTTGACGCCACGTTCCGAGTCGAACCCATCAAGGCGTGTAAGCACCTCATGGTGAGACAGGCAATCGCGCTTTTCCACCTTCCCGTTTTCTGGCACCCATGTTCTGACCACAACATTGTCATCCTAACGAGTGAGTCAGTAATGATTCTCATAACACATTGACATGCACATGACACACACCTCGTTATTGCTAATCGGGACTGTATCGTGCACGATGTTGCCGATGGTCCGGATTTTCTTGTCCCTCTGAGATTCTTTCTGGACAGCAAGTTCCTCAGCATCTTTCTTGCGTTTCTCCAAGCCAGCCTTCTGTTCCATGAGGGAGCTTGCGTCTTCCTTATTCTGTTTGTCAACTCGCGTCTGTTAGATACATGCCTCTCACTTGAACCCATTACGGAGGATTGGATGATCAAGCCCGACCTTCTTCATTTTACCAATCTCTTTCTGAAGTGCATTGAGCTGGGAATTGATCTGCATGACTTCGTAGCGTGCTGAAGGGAAGAACCGTCTTAGTAGGCCTTTCTCCTGTTCAATGTTTTCATCGAATTGTTAGTAGACATACCACTTCTTGCCTCTTCATATAGACTGAGGACTTCATCAACGGCAGTCTCGGGCGCATATCTTTTGCGCTGGCTGTCCCTGATTTTGTTCGGGTTACCCCCGCGGTCGGTGATAAAATCGGCAAGGTCTAACATGATGAGCAGCAACCAGAATATTTATTCAGTATTTCGAGTACGCGCAGATATGGAAGCGACTCAGTTATGAGAAATGGAACCTGATCGGTCAGGGTGAAATGGCCGGTGACTGACAAAGAGGGGCAATTAAGAAAGGGTGAACTTTCTTTCCGCGTTGGATCCATGAGGGGCAAAAATCTAGGTGGCCTTACTATTCGGGTATAGCATCAAACGGGCATTAGGCCGACTATAGGTATCCATGCACCAGGCACCAAATCTTACCACTTGCCCCAGGCCTCAGCTTCAACTACAGAGCATATACTCTGGTCATTGTTCTTATCCAATAAATAAATCCGAGGATTCACAGTTTCCACGAACAACACCATTCCACGAAAAAAAGCACAATTAGCATAGAAAGCTTTATTAGCATGGATTATTATCAGATCCAATCGAAAATGACAAACATATAAAACACTAACTAACAGAACCAAGAACACGCCATGGATAGGACAAAGCTAGGCTTTGTAGGTGGTAAGACATATGTAAACAGATTCCCAAGCCCACCCAGAAACATTACATGAAAGTTTATACCCAGTGGCATATAGAAGAGTCACATTACAGAACACTTGTTGCCGCCTGCAGGCTGAGACGGATTCTGTGATTTTTCAATCTCGCCAATGATCAAGTCAAAGGCCTTTCCAACATTGTAATCAAGGCGAGCGCTAGCCTCAGTGAACGCACAGTGAAACTCCTCACCCAGCTGCCGACCTTCTTCAAGCGAGACCTGACGTTGCTCGGATTTGAGATCACTTTTGTTTCCGACAATCACAAGGGGCACGTGGTCGGCACCCTATACCATTGTGTCAATATGAAAAATCATAGTGCATGGAATATGAAGTATTACCAGATGATTTAATATCTTATCTCGGATAACTCTGACCATATCGAATGATTGACGGGATGACAACGAGTAAACAATAATGTACCCATGGATGCCAATGAAGTGCTTAGAATTCAGTATGCTGTACTCATCCTAGTGCAGGATTAGCCACGGCTGGGGTCGGTTCCAGGGAGTCCTTCTCACTTGGCCGGCTGTGTCAACAATCTCAGTTGCGAAATCTTGGCCGTTGTATTTGATGATGCGGCTGAACGTGTTTTCAATCGTCGGATAATAGCTTTCTACGAAATGATGTTCAACGAATCGAACTGTAAGAGAAGATTTACCTGAAAAGCCAATAGTTAACCATGCAAGAGTCTAGTGATTGTTTCTAGTGAATATTGGGAGGATGTAACGATTTCATACCCACAGAGCGACTGCCAACAATAGCTATCTTCCGCTGCTTTGGAGCACTAGGCATCTTCCCCTTGAGTAGCAGCGCGAACCAACGCTTATTGGCTTAAATGTACACTGGCACGGAAGGATATTCGATTGATTTGAGCTTTAGAGCGCAGCGCTGGCAGAGTCTCCAAAATGTTGAGGAAGATATGATAAGTGGCACTATAGGACTTGTACGGAGCAGACCCAGCAGCTCTCTATCATAAGATGGGATTGGGGACGTATGAACTCAGCCGAGAGTGGCAAACAAGTCAAACGGCTGCACCTACTAATTATGTCAGGACGGGAAGGGCAGGGGACTTAGCGCATTGTGATTATCGCCGATCCCTGGTTATCATTATAGTTTGCCAAGTCCACTGCCCTTCTTCTCTGTCACAATTAGGTGTAGTTAGTGTATACCTATGTAGCTATATACGAGATCCTCTTATTGTATGACCCGAGCAATTTATATTCCACCCACTAAATATGTCAATGGTGGATTCCCTTGTTCAAACCTGATACATGATAGGCATTTGATGGGAATTTGATACCAATGCCATAATCGAATAAAGATATCTTGACCATTGGAATGGTTTGTTCTACTGCTGGCCTATCTGTTCTATAATACGTGCCAAACGTGCCGTGGATGTGTTGCCATTTTCTTGAGGTTCGGTGAGTCGCGAATCTCGTTCAGCTTTCTCATAATATAGGAAGAATTCCTTGGCCGTTGATTTGACAGAGGCGACCTCTCTACCAAAGTTAAGTAGCAATTCTCGAATCCGGGCGCATGGTTCTGTATGCAAACAGAGGACAGCCAATAGTATTGACAAGTAGCCAACAGCAACAGTGGAATGTACCTCAGAAACGGATTTTGCCTAGAATTTAAATGAGTACGAATCTTTGCTCAATAGCAGAAGTTGCAATACTTACATGGCTGACAAGGTCAATGTTGAGAGAAAACTGCTGCACAAGTATGTCAAGGGGGGGCTGTGAGTCATGCGCTGGCATAAGAAAGCAAGCTCTGCAACTCTCGCTCTGTTCTGCCAGATTTGTAAGGATACCCAGAGCCAGGATAACAAGGCTGACAGGATCATGCTCATTAGAGCCAAAGAAAGCAGATGCACTAGACAATCCTGCGCTGACAATTCGAGCAAATCCAATGATCATCTCGGGGGAGGCATATTGTTCGCACGCCAAACATTCGTTATTGGTGAGGTTAAGTATGACCCTCAGATACAGTGCCAGAATTTGTCTGCCTTGATCATCCTGAGCTGATTCAATGAAGTCATTGTGTAGTAGGACAAACTTCTGGAAAGGACTGCTGTACAGATAGCGTGGCATAGGGGATAACATTATGTAGCTCTCTAGGATACGGAGAGTCATTGATTTCGTTTGAAAGTTGTTATGGAGAGGCGGGTGTGTTGGGCTTTCAGCACTGTTCGGAAGCAGAAGCCCGACGAGACTGCTTAACATAGGCGGAGACATTGACTCTATGCGGTGGCTCTTGTCTTGGAATACTGCCAAGCAATATTGAATGCAGGAAAGAATGATCAAATGTGGGTAGAGTTTCGGTGCCGTGCTATCGGGAAACAACAAGAAAGTCAATTGTGGGATAAGATCCCTTAGCGAGGCTTGCACGGCTTTCGAAAGATGAGATCGTGGCTTGCCTGCCAATGACATGATATCGTCTTTCACCATGAGCAGTGACTGTGATCTATCGACAAGTCGTGCCCAAAACGTTCTCAAATGCGAGTATGAGTGTATTCCTTTAAGACAAACCAACCTATAGGCACATAGTGTCAGACATGTAGGGACAACGTCCAGATTGCCCAATGTACATTTCACTAGTCGTTCGTCAAAAGCGTTCTCCGAGAATCTATGCATAAAGTTGGGTTCGAGTAGCTTTTTGCACAGTTGGATTATCCCATTGCATATATCGGAAGTCGAGTTGCCGGGGTTGTCGATGTCATCGAATAGTGACTCAACCGACTCTTGGAAGCGAGCATTGTCCCCAGCCTGTCTGAGCTCGTGAATGCTACGGACAGGCCTGCCAGGATCGTCGCCATCAGCCGACAGCGGGAGTGAAGTGGTAGCTTTGTGGGCTACAGAAAGTATCCCGGCTTCGGTATTGTTCAAAGCTGCGACCGGAGCATCATGAATACCAGAGACAGAGTCGTTCAAGGCACTTCCTAGAAAAGAGCGCTGGCGAGCGTAGGTTATCCTGGAACGTAAAAGAGCTGGTGGTGCCGATGTTCTTGTCTCCCTGGCACTCTCTATGGATGCTGTGGAGGTTTTTGGAATCCGATTTTGGTCTGTTTGCGGCGAGCCAACATTTTCTCTTCTACGAACTTTGAAGTCCGAAGATGTGTTTGCGTCATGGGCTTCGGAGTCGGAGGGGGATACTTCATTCAGGGCTGACTCCTGTGCCGCACTTAATGAATCAATAAGCCTTCTGCGCATTGGTTTTGTTTTTTGTCGAGATTGAGTATCTGGTAGAGCCTCCTGAGATCGATCCCTAACTTGGGTATGGTTTAACGTTGGTGATGAGCTCGGTCGGTGTGCTGACGCCTGGCCATCTGACTTTGTTGGCTTGGCGGATGCCAGCGACGAGACAAGGGACGTTCTCTCGGCGACGGGTATTGGTTTGCTGTAAGAGCGAATCTGGCTGCCATCTTGTCGCTTTAGAGCAGGAGCCACATCAGATAAAGCCGGATTCACCTGTGCGCGTTGCTGGGCCGTACGCAATATACCAATCTCTTGGGCGCCATAGCTACCACGCATAATCTTATCGTTTTGGGCTGATTTCATTTGCTCTGCAGCGGCAAGTTTTTGTCTCTTCTGTTGCATGGGCTTTTGCACCCGCAGCCTTTTGCTTTGAAATGTATTATCTGGGGCGTTGTTCGCTTGCGCATTGCTCAAATGCCTTGGGTTATGGTTTCTTAACGAACACTCCGTCTGATTGGCAGGCGCACAACCTGTGGCTGGCTGCCGAAGCGCCTTGTGGGTGCTTCTATTAAGCATTTTATCAGGCATCTGAGCGACGACCGATAAAACTACTTCAATCAAGCAAAGCGCGGGCTTCCTTATGATAAGCACTTGGCAATGAGCAGCTGTATCCTATAAGAAAGGCCGGGTACAGGAAAGTTGCTGACAAATGCCTCACATGATGAAGCGGCAAGAGATGTTCAAGAACTCAGGCTTAGTATAATAGCTGTAAACGCTGGTTTTCGTCTGGAAATGAGTACATTACCATGAAAGGGGGCCTTAATGTAGAAGGAAAAGGCCTGTGGAAGTGAATTTATGAGTAAGATTGGCCGCCGACGGCCATCCATCCCGTATGTGCCAGGTGAGAACTAGGGAGAGACATCATGGAAGCGGTCAGCCATGAACCAATGACAGCCGGCCAAGGACATGCGACCGCCCAAGGTGAAAAAGTTGGTCCGGAAAACCTAGCATACTGATAGGAGAGTTTTTCTATGCCTCGAATGCTCCAGAACTGCTAATAGCTACCATCTCATTCATGTCTCTTCTATCTTGCCCGCGCCTGCTCTTACGGGCGGGCCAGCGACTACAGGTGAGACCCCGTGCCACACCCTCTGATGATAACACATTGACCCCATTATTGATTAGCCTCTTTTATTGTCACGACACTCTAGCTCCTTGAAAGAGCCGCCCAGCATTGATACACCCAGCATTGATATACCTAGCACCTCCAGTCTGGTCAAAGATAATGTGATGTCCTCGGGCGAAGGTCTACTTCCCGACAAGTCTAACTCCCCGAGCGTACTTAATGGTCAACTTACACAGCCATCCGGGTCGCCTGAGCTCCCAGTGACTAATTGGTCTGATACCCACTTGAAGAGGTGTTGTCTGATCAGCAGACTAACTATCATTGTAGGGAACAGCGCTTGAACGGTCTCAGTGGTAAGGCACGGCTACCACGAAGCGTTCAAGCAGTATATCTGCGGCCGCTTCGTAGAAAGGCCGAACATGGCCTCCCAGTGTGTGATTTGCAATTGAGGTCCTACAGTGTACGAAATGTTGAGTTTTTCTCTGATTTCGCTATACGCGCGGCGTATTACTTGGGCCTTCCTGCCTCTGGGCCTGTGCCTTTACCACGTATTGTCGAACGTTGGACAGTACCTCGAAGCAACTTCGTTCACAAGAAGAGCCAAGAGAATTTCGAGCGTATAACACTTCGTCGGCTAATTCAGATAAAAGATGGTAATCCTGAGACCGTTCAGGCATGGCTGGCTTTTCTCAGGAAATATGCTTTTCATGGAGTTGGTATGAAAGCGAACATTTGGGAGTATGATAGTCTTGGTATGTCTGACTCAGTCTTATTGCTTCCATGCATCCATATTCTCGTCTGTGCAGGAACTGACACAGTGTCCGCAACTTCTAAGATGTCGCCGAGAACCTGGATAAGACCGGTGAAGAAACGGAAAGGTCACTTGAAGGACTGTTTTCATACTTCGGTCAAAGGGAAGATACGAGGTCCGATCGTTCGCTTACTGACATGTTGGATAAGAACCATCTGGTCACGACGAAAAGTCCCTTGTCAGAGGTCGGCAGTCGGTAATAAGTCATGGATACTTACACATAAGTTACCATGTATGATCTATATCATTAGTCCTTGTCTTTTTCACATGCTCAACCCTAGCGGCCTCAGAGAACCTCTTGTTCCAGGTCATTGCATGATGATTCATCTCGTTCTGCCTGTAAACAACTGTCGCAAATATGAATGACAATACAACATCGTTTTGTTGTGTCCGTTGCCTGTATTTATATCGGGTCATCCGACCCGCACTCGTTCTAATTGATAGCTATAAGGTATAGATGCCTCACGTCTCAGACTACTCAGGGGTAACATAAAGTACAACGCGTTCTCTCATTTCAAGTTTCTCGAGCCTGGTATTACGAACCTATCACGTGACCACGTCCAGCGGATATATCCAGGACTTGCTACAGTCATGTCTGAATTTGCAACCCGCCTTAACACGGTGGTATTGATGGATCATGTATAGGAAGATCACTCGCCTCGATGGACGCCTTGTTGGCTTTGCCAGTTCGCCTCGCCCCTTGAATGGCCGGTCAATTGTAACACCTTTCAAAGCTGATAGGCTGAAAAGCTATCGCCTTAACAGATGGTTTGGCAATTGTACGACGAAGCATGCTTCCGATGCACCTCGCACAATCTTCTCTGGTATACAGCCGACAGGTGTGCCTCATCTGGGCAATTACTTGGGTGCTTTAAGGGAATGGGTGCGGTTGCAGAATAGTGCGACTGAAGAGACACAATTGATATTCTCTATCGTGGACTTACATGCGCTGACAGTACCACAAAAATGTCACATGTTGAGGGGCTGGAGGAAAGAGATGCTCGCCACATTAATCGCTGTTGGCTTGGATCCGAATCGCTCCACGATCTTTTATCAGTCTGCTGTACGCTGCGCTTCTTTCCGAGCCAGTCTCTTACTCTCGTTCTCTGACCAACCAATAGGTCCAATCACATGCCGAACTGTACTGGATCTTATGTACGATAGCATCTATTGGGTATCTATCACGAATGACTCAGTGGAAGGTGAGCAATCGCAATGAAAGACGGGCGCGTATCGCAGGCAGCGTACCGACGAAACATAAAACAGGCGTCGGCATTAACACGGCATAGAGCAAGCTTCAATTACCCGACGATGTAACTCTCGAAAACCCAGCAGCAAGATCAGAGTTGCGGCTCGGTCTTTTCTCGTACCCTGTTCTTCAAGCAGCGGATATACTTGTCCATAGGTCCGATGCCATCCACACCTAGCAATTCCCGACTAACTTTAATTAGAGCTACTCATGTCCCTGTTGGAGAAGACCAAAGACAGCATCTTGAATTCTCCCGAAATATCGCAAATACTTTCAACCATCGCTATGGGCAGATCTTCCCGGCTCCAAAGGCTCTCATATGTGAGGCGCTGCCAACCTGTCTCAATGCAGGTGTCACCCTAAAAGAGAAAGAATGCTGACCCATGAATACACTGTAGCACCTGCTAGACGAGTGATGTCTCTTAAGGAACCAACCGTCAAAATGTCCAAATCTCATAGTGACCCTCGATCCAGAATTCTTCTCACCGACTCGTCCGAGGACATCCGTAAGAAGATCCAGGTCGCGCTCACGGATTCAGAAGAAGGTGTGACGTATGATCCCATTCGGAGGCCGGGAGTCTCTAATCTTTTAGAGATCCTCAGTCATTTCGATGGCAGGACATGCGAGGAATTGGTCTCAGAGTACCAGTTTGCTAGTCTCAGAGCTCTGAAGGAAACCTTAACCGGTCAGGTCTCGGACAATCTTGCGCCTATTAGGGAAAGATACCTGCAACTCATTGCGAATAAGGGCGGGTATCTAGATGCTGTCTCCGAACAAGGCGCTCATGCAGCCCGGGCCAATGCCGAACAGACCATGAGCCATGTTAGGAACGTAATGGGTCTATGAAAGGCTTCTGCCATTCACGGCTAACTCTTGCCTTCACCTTTCTACTATCGATGGTTTGATTGCTAAAGGTAATCCTCGCAATCTCATGCCCGGAGGCTTGAATCATACCATTTTTACTCCTATGAATACAATAATACACCATTTATTTATCTCGCTCTTGTGTATCCACTAAGTTGTGTTGTGGCAATTACCAAGTATCTCCATTCAAGCAACAATCAATGGTGGCTCGAGTTTTACTGATTTCTTCCATATTGCTTCTAGACCAATAGGAGCAGTATTCGCAGACCTATCGGTCAACTGCTGCCTGTTGCCAGTGAGTCTTCGCCGACTGGGGATTTGTGGGTGGGGCAGATCCTCTACAATCGACGTACTATCGTACTGACATGTAAGGCTCCAAGTACTCTTATAACAGTGTCGGAACTTGCGTCATACACTTCAGTCCCGTACATAGAACTCATAGCTACCGGTGAATTCCACTACCAGGTCAACTACCGTCTACTCATGGACAAGAGATGTCTAAGGATCATCGGGGTTTGAGCCACAGACTACGGTATTTACAGATAATGGGGACAGGTGGCGTAACCTGTTGCTCTGTGAACGCTGTTATAAAGCTGCATCACGCGCAGGCATGCTTTGGTGCTTGCGACGCCAACAGCAAGCGACATGCAATAGTCTAGAATAGTTTACTTGTATAACCAACTCGTACCCGGGCTTTCCGGTCCACCTACCCACTTACCAGTGATCTACTCAGTAAGTATGGTTGTCTGATAATGTAACAATGGGACTGGATTATATAATCTTCAGATTAGATTTGCAGAGCCTGCCCGAGCTTCATGTCTAGCTCAAAGAGGAAGCGGTCGAACTGATCTAGGGTGGTCAGGCGTGTTTCACTGCTGGCCCACATTTACACAAGGAACCTCCAGGCTCAAGGCCCAGCTGTAGCCTGAGAGAGCCTGGTACTTCCTGAAGCGGGTTAAGTATACCAATAGGTAAGGTTGCGACCGGTTCGGACCAGCACTCCCCAGGACCCGGACCCGGGAACCATGTCCGCGCGCCGGAAGAGGTTAGTTTCAGAAAGACAGAAAAAACTAAGTCGATTCTTGGTTATCGCCTAAATAGTTTATGTAAATACTGTATGTTGGTACTCAGTGCAATATTAATGTATCTACCTAACTCTGTATATGTGAGTATTTTGCCAATACCATTTATGATTGGATAATGTGACCTGTGATTGATGTAAAACCCACTGCTGACGACAACAATGGTGCATAGTTTTGGAGCACAGCTCTCAGTGACCACCATACTTGTCACCTTCAGCCGCCCCACATGCTTGTATGTATAGGTGAGTATTACCTCAAAAAATTATTCACCTATAAACTCTTTGAGGGTAGAATATCTGACTAATCTTGATAAATATAATATATATAACCAGTTATACTTTAAAAAGAATTGAAAGCTAGAATAGAATTCTGTTATATGATATGATTTATTTTACTGAATTGTGATTTTGTCATGGGTAATCCATGTAACCGAGTGGTTACTGTGACGGAACACCCATACCTTAGTCACAAAATAGTCGTGACGTCAATGATTTAGTAGAATCTGTATCTTAAATATCCAGGCCTTGCTATAATGTAATCGGTAAGCGAGTGGCGCGTGTAAGCCAGCAGCACGCTGCATTTCCTATATAAAATAGTAATTTTCAATCCCTTATATCTCGACCAATTCTGGATATTATTCTATATAATCTTATATACAGTTTTATATAATTATAAATTAGTAATTATATCAAGGATTTCTAATTTAAAGCTTAATAAGACTTAATACAGAAAAATACAGTGTATTTTTTGTATTTTATTCTTTTTCTAGAATAACTTCTTTTTAAAAAGATATAGATATTTCTAAATAAGATTTATAAAAAATTAATATACTTATTTCTATAATATATTTATTTAAAATTTTTAAGTATTCTTGTTGTTGAATTATATAAGTTCAAAATATCTAGATTTAATACTAAATACAGCTCTGTGCTGCTGGCTTACACGTGCCACTCGCTTACTGATTATGTTACCCTAGGAAGGCAAGGATTAGTCTATGTCTATACGATACCAGTACTTGATTCTACACCTAGCTGACCTTTTCCCTTTACAGATTTCTTGAGTCTTTGTAGAGTATTCTTGATTAGAAAGATTATAGACATATTAATTTTACAAGATCTCTTGGTATATTTATCAGATGAAGAGTTTATATTCAAAATGTTAAGAGGTACATTGATGTGATATTATTTATAGGTCATTGGGGAAAAAATGAATAGAATAAATTTTGATCAAGAAGACTAAGAAACTTGGGCTCTAAGCAATATATAGAGATATAAGATAAGCTCATAATATATTTATACTATGATATTAACATATAACAGATTTTTATGTACAATCAAAAATCAATTCATTTGGAAAACAAATCAACTATTAAGATTACTGTATGATGTGACTAATAAGCAAGCACTGTAGAAGTATAGAATATACATAAAAAAGTATAATCTGTAGAATATACCTGACCTACATACTTTAGTAAATAGGATCGCTGGAGGCGAGCAGCAGCAGCTTGTTCAATTCTACTTTAACTCAAAAAGTGTGGCGGCAACAGGATGTGGGGCTCAAAAAACTGGATTCTAAGTCCCGACGCGCACAGACTCCAACAGTGGAAGCGATATCAGTGCTTTGCTGCTAAGAAAACAAGGTGGGCCTGCCCGAATAAGAAGAGCATCATGTCCACTGCTATGAATCTTTGTCACATTCAAATCACGTACTTTCTTTCGCAGCAACGAGAGCGGTCAATGAATCCTCGCTACCAATCGGACACGGCTTAAACGATATCTCAATTATTGATAAGAAACATCTTCCTTGACAAGTATATACAATCAGAGCACATTGAATGCGACAAGCGGACCTGGAATATTGAAAGCACAAGACTAACGATGTGGCCCTGGCTCTTCTTTATCACAGCCGCTCTGTCGCTAATACGGACGGCTGCTGCACTGACGCTTCAAAAGCGAGACACACCAGCAGTTGTGGCATTGGACATCAAACGTAACAATATATCGGATCCTATTACAAGAGACCGAGTGAGACGTAAACGAGAGGAGACAGTGGGTCAAACACTTGACAACGAGGTATAAGATTGCAATCATTATCTCTGTCGCTATTCACTTAGTGAACACCAACTTACCAAATCATGACACAGGAGACCCTTTACTTCTGCAATGTGACGCTTGGTACACCTGAACAGAGTCTACGTCTGGTCTTGGATACTGGAAGCAGTGATTTGTGGTGCAATGCACCTAATTCAACACTTTGCTCCTCATCTGCTGACTCGTGCGGCGCATCCGGAACGTATGATGTAAATGACTCTTCGACTTTCACATTTGTTTCCTCGGATTTCAACATATCATACGCGGATGGAACAGGCGCAGCTGGCATATATGCCAGTGACACACTACACATAGGAGACGCCGCTTTGGAAGGCTTTCAGTTCGGGATCGGCTTTTCTTCCAGTTCTTCAGGTAGGCTATCATCACCGCTAGCGGCTTTATATTAAACGCTGATGTGTGGTGCGACAGAGGGTGTCTTGGGCATTGGGTACCCGTCAAACGAGGTGCAGGTGGGTCGCTTCGGTGACAGTGCTTATCCCAACCTCCCTAATGCTATGGTCAGGGATGGCCTGATTAAGTCCAATGCATACAGTTTATGGCTGAATGATCTGGACTCGAGCACGGGCTCGATCTTGTTTGGGGGGGTCAATACGGAGAAATATCATGGGGAGCTCGAGACCCTGCCCATACAAAAGGTGGGCGGCGTCTACTCGGAATTTATCATTGCCTTGACTGGTGTTGCTCTAAGTAGCAAGTCGAGCAAGCGCAACTACTCGTCGGATGACCTTCCAGCCGCAGTGTTATTAGATTCTGGAAGTTCACTTACCTATCTTCCAGACTCCATCGTTGAAGATATCTACAACGATCTTAATGTTGTCTATGAGAAATCATCAGGGATCGGATACGTGCCGTGCAGCTCGGCACAGAAGGATATAAATATCACGTATACCTTCTCATCTCCTGCTATCTCTGTTGGCATTGACGAACTTATCCTTGACATCGGGGATCTATACTTCCAGAACGGCAAGCGCGCTTGCATTTTCGGTATAATTCCTGCCGGTGACAGTACAGCTGTTCTGGGCGACACTTTTTTACGCAGCGCATATGTGGTCTATGACCTATCAAACAACGAGATTTCCCTTGCTAACACCAATTTCAATGCAACTAAGGATAATATTCTGGAGATTGGAACTGGAGAAGACTCTGTACCAGGTGCGACTAAGGTGTCCAATCCCGTGACTTCAGTTGCAGCCAATGGCTCTGGGGCCAGGATTGGAGGCCCAACGGGTTCTGTATACACAGAAGTTCCATCTACAGCTAGCGGAGGCGGCAAAGCCCGGGGAATGTCAAACATGGTCAGGTTTATTTTATTTGAGGCAGCAGTCAGTTTCTATGTATTGTTTGTGTTTTAAGTTTAGATGCAGATATAACAGGTAATTAATTAAGATGTCTGCTGCTGAATATATTAAAATGCGCCGGCGAACATGGATGGCCGTTCTCTCTGGCTGTGTATTGTATCAACGAAATGAGGCTACTCAGGAGGGCTTCGGAACTTGAGATGTTGATTCCTTGGTGTTGGTGTTGGTTGCTAACTGACTTCTCTGTGGGGGAAACTCGCTTATAGGCCTACGTCACATGGCCAGATTACTCAGGCACTGATATGTTGCCCCTTCCCTCTATATTAGGCACTTATTATTAATATATATAAAGATATAGATGACTAGTATAAACCCTCACTACTTTAAAGGTTGACAGAATTGTATAAATGTTTGTCAGACATACAGCCCCACTTAGCCTAATCTGGCTGAGTAAATCAGCTTGATTATTCTTTTTTAAAAAAGCTTGATAGATTATATTATTTAAATAATATAATTTATCTTAATTACTTAACTCTAAACTAATCTAATTTTCTATTTAGGAAATAATTGATAATGTAATTAATATCAAAAAAATATTTTTTTATTATTTGTTTATTAGTTTAATTAATTAGATTATTATATATTAAACTTACTATTCTATTAATTTTTTTGATCTTAACTTTTGGAAATATTTATTTTAATTATTTATTAATTTCTTAATTAAAAAATAATCTAATTATTCTATATTATGTGATTTTTTTGTATCAAATAATTATAAATCTAAATAAGAAATTAATTAATTTTCTTTAATACCCCTAAATCACTATAAATTAAATTATAAATTAAATAAATCTTAATAAGATATTCATATTTAATTAATAAATTAATTAGATAATATAGATTAATTAGATTAGATTATATATTATTAATAAAAATATATAGAGATAATAAAATCTAACTTTTTTAAAAAAAAAGTCTGATTATTTAATTTAATTTAATTTATTTTATTTTCTATTTAGAATATTAGAGCTAATATAAAATTAATAAATTTAATTTAGTTTTTGATTGAATATATAAATTGATTATTTTTATATTATATGAATTAAATAAAATAAGTATATTTATTATATTATAGATTTGGTATTACAGTGGTATAATGGCAAAGGCTGAGAAGTAAGTAAAAAGATTAATTAGAAGAAGAAATCTCATATTACAGTAGTTGATGGCAAGGCTGAGAAGTATTTAAGTAAGAAGATTAATTAAAAAGAAATCTTAGGAATAGTTAAAAATCAAAGATCTAAAAAGTTTTCTATTAGAGTAGTATAAAAAATAGTAAAATAATAATATAATATAATTCTTAATTGAGCTAAGATTTACTATATATACTAATATAATAAACTTAATATTCATATATAATAATATTATATATATAAATAATAGTATAATAAAAATATTAATAAATATTAAAAAATAATTTATATTTATAAAATAAAAAAAATAAAATTATAAGAAAATAATATATTATAATTAAAATAATTAATATTTTTTAAATTTATAAATTAGATTATCTATTATAATATTTCTTTATAAATCTAGAAATTATTAATAAGATTATATTTAAATTAATAAATAAAATATTTAATAATTATTTTCTAATATATTTATATAAAATAATATTATAGTATTTCTTAGTTTATCTAAGAATTCTATTATTTTTTTCTTCAGCTGTCTTTTATATTACCAAGTAAATAGAACTCTTATTTATTTATTCTAAGATATATTCTTAATTCTACTATTGATTTATAAATTATTATTATTATATTTTATTATTTTTCTAGTTATATATAATATATAGTAGTATATTCTAGTTTATTAAATATATTTTTTATATATTTTTAAAGAATTCTAGTATTTTCCTTAAATTTTTTTTATTTTTATATTCTAAGTATATTAAGTATTTTAATCTTATATTTATATATTTTATTTCTTTATATAATTACTAGTCTATAATTTTTATTAGATAATTTTATTTTAATACTTTTATAAGTTATAAATTAGCTAAAATTTTTGGTATATTTTATTTATTAAATCTTATTCTAGTTATTTAATTTATAGTAATTAAATCTATATATATTTATATTTTTCTAAAAATATATTTATACTTTTCTAAAAATTATTATTTATATCTTTTTTCTAACTTTTTTATCTATTTACTTCTAGTTTTATTATAATATTCATTTTTTTTTTAATTTTACTCTTCTTCTACTAAACATCTTAATAAATTTAAAAATTATTTTTAACTAATTATTTTTATTTATTTTTTTCTCTAAAAATATCTATATCATTTTATTTATAAGTAATATATTAGTAAAAGAAAGATAATAAATATAATTATTAAGTTATAGATACTAATATTAATTTAAATTTTTTTATATTAGAAATAATATATTATATTATCTAATTTTAAAAATATTTAAAAAATTAATTTTACAGCTAGATAAATAGTAATATTTTAATTTATATTTATTATTTTACTAAATTTACTAATTCTTCTTTATTTATAAAATAATAGAAATATTCTTTAAATTAAAATATTATTTATTTTATATTATATAAAGATATTATTAATTTATAAAATAAATCTAATATCTTCTTTTCTTTAATTAATATATTTATTAATATAAAGATATCTAGAAATTCTCTAAAGATTTCTAAGAATTAAAATTATTTTTTATAGTTAATTAAATATAGTTAAGATTTATTTTAATTAAAATTATATTTTTAATACTATTCTTATCTTTATATTCTGGAATATTTGTAATTTTTATTTTTAATTTAATTAAAAAACCTATCCTGATAAATCTAGAAAATTCTGATTATTTAAAATTTTTAAAATAAATATATTCTGAGATTCTGGCTATTCTGAGCAGAATTATTTTTATAAATTTTAATAATATTATTATTTTTTATTATTTTATAAATTTATATATTTCCAGAACTTTTCTATTATTAATTAGATTAAATATTTTATTATTTTTTTATAATTTTATTAGATATATTCCCTGATCTAAGTAGTTCTATATTTTAATATAATTATTAAAGAAATTTAAATACTAGTTTAAATCTTTTATATTCTAGAATATATTTTATAATTATTATTATTTTTTCTAATTTTTTAATTAAATATATATTATAAAATAATATAATTAAGTCTTCTTATTTTTAAAATATTTATAAATAAGATAATTTTTAATATTCTTAATATATATAATACTAGTTTTAGAATATACTATAATATTAGAATATTTCTTAAAATTAAAAAAATTAATAATAGAATTAATTATAAAATACTTTATAGTAGATTCTTGAATATCTTATAATATTAAAAAATTATTTTATATAAAATACTCCTATCTTTAATCTTTTATTAATTAATTTAAATAAAAACTTTAATTCTAATAATTTTATATCTAATAATTTTATATTATTTATTAATTTATTTATATTATCTGATTTTTCCAGAGATTTATTTTTCAATAATACTAATAATATTTTTTAATTTTTTTATTCTAGAGATAATGGAAACCTGAATACTTAAGAATTTATTTATTATATAATATATATTAAGAAGATAAAACCTAAAGAGATTAGATTTTTTACTTTTAATATAATTAATAATAAAGTTATATAATAAATTAATTATATTATATATTATAAGAATATTAATATATTTATTAATTATATTAAGAAGACTATTTAATACTAGAGTAGCTTAACCTGACTGTTATACCTTAACCTTAACCTGACCTTAACCTGGCAGTCAGGTTAAGATATAAAAATCAGATTAACTGCAGGTATAACAGTTAACTGCAGTTAACTATTATACCTAAATCAGACAGAATCAGGCAGGAATCAGGCAGAAATATTCTGTTATTTTATACTATCTTCTTAAATAGGCTTAATTGCTAAGAAATTTGACCTGCAGGTTAATCATTAGTTAACCTGGATAGGAATATATATTTCTTATACCTGACTATAAACCTGACCTAACCTGGCTGTTAGCCACTCTATTTAATACTATAGAGAAGCTGTAGTTAAGATAAATCTATAAATTTATTTTTAAAGAATTATACTTATTTAACATATAATTAGTTTTATTAAGATTAAGAAGTATTTAATAATCTATATTAATTTAATTAATAGTTAAATTAAAAAATTTAAAAAGAGATTTAAACTAAATATCTTTAGTAATATAAATAAATTAAATATTATATACTTTTTTCTTATTAATATGTAAACTAATTAATATATTAGATAATTTATTTAGAATATTATTTAATATATCTAAGTAGTATAAATAAATAATATATTCAACTAGATTATATATATATAGAATTATATTAATCTTTATTTATATACTAGAACATATATTTATATTAATTTAAAACTTATTATTATTTTAAAAATAATAATTACTCAGAGTGACTAGGGGGTTATTTATTATAATCTATTAAAAGATTTATATATTATATAGTTAATATAAATTACAAAAACAGAACTATTATTACTACTATTATTCTAATTATTAATAATTATTTAATTACTAGTTTAGATTTTAATTATTAGAATAATATATCTACTACTATAATTAAAAATAATATAATATTTAAATCTAATATTATTTCTCTTAATACTATTCTCTATACTAAAATTAAAATATAAAAATAAAAATAGAGAATAGTAAACTAATTATAAAGAGAAAATTAAATAAATTAATAACTTAATATTTATAAAAAACTATATATTTAAATTAGAAGATATATTAAAATTTTTTAATATTAAAAAAATAAATTTATTAAATATTTTAATTATTTAAATATTATACTAGACTCTTATAATTAATAATTATTATTTAAAATATTTTATTAATTTTTATTTAAAAAAATACAGAAATATTAATATTATAAAAATAACTAAATAATTTATTTAAAGATAATACATAGCTATAAATAATATAGAATATAAATTTAAATAATTTAATTTATTTAAAAATTAGAATATAATTATATTTTTATTT